CTGGTGCAGAGCAGATGTGCCATGCAGGGGTTTTCTGCTGATGTTTATTGTTTTACTTTTATTCTGAAGTGCTTAAAGACTCCTCAGCAGAAAGCCTGAAGCTCATCCCCTCTACTGCTGGCTGTCCTGAACATGTCCCTCTGGTTCCCTGATAAAGAGTCCATTCTCAGCTGTCCTGTATGCCCTGTTAGGTGCTGGAAGGCTGCAGTGAGCTCTCCTCTCTTCTCCAGGCAGAACACCCCCAGCTCCTCGGCCCGGCTCCACAGCAGAGGTGCCCCAGCCCTCTGAGCACCTCATGCCCTCCTCTGGACCCGCTCCAACAGCCCCACGTCTTCCTTATGCTGCGGGCCCTGGGCCTGGACGCATGACTCCAGGTGGGGCCTCACGAGGGCAGAGCAGAGGGGGACAGTCCCCTCCCTGCCCACTGCCACCCCTCTGCTGATGCAGCCCAGGCTGCTGGCGGCTCTCCGGGCTGCACGCTGCTGGCTCAGGTCAGCTTTCCCTGTTCCAGAACCCCAAGTCCTTTCTGCAGGGCTGCTCTCAAGGAGTTCTTCCCCCCTTCTGAACACATACCTGCCATTGCCCCTACCCCAGGGCAGCACTGTGCACTTTTCCTTGTTGAGCCTCAGGTGGTTCCCATGGCCTGCTGTCCATGTCCATCTGGATGCCGTCCCTTCCTTCTGCTGCATCCGCTGCACCACTCGGCTCGGTGTCTGAGGGTGCACTGAATCCCATCATCCACGTCCCTGATAACGCTGTTGAAGAGTACGGGTCCCACAGAGCAGCCTGTGGGACAGCACTCATCCCTGCCTCCACCTGGTGCAGTCATTGACCACAGCCCTCCAGCTGTGACCTTCCAACCAATTCCTTACCCACCAAACATCCCGCCCCTCAGACCCAGATCTCTCCAACTTGGAGATAAGGATGTGGTGGGACACCACGTCAAAGGCTTTGCACAAGTCCAGGTAGGTGACATTGGCCGCCCTCCCTTTGCCCACCAAGGTCATCGCTCCATCACTGAAGGCCACCAGGAGGGCCAGCCGTGCTCTGCCCTTGCTGAGGCTGTGCCAGCTGCCTGCGGTCACCTCCTCATCTCCCCTGTTCCACGATCTTCCCAAGACAGTCGCACCCAAACCTCGAGTGTGACCCCCTCCATACAGGCAGCCATTCACTGCCAGCAGAAGGATTGCCAGGAAAGGCCCCAGGTGTCCTGGTGAGCAGCACTTTGCCAGGAGTCAGCAGGATGCCCTTGCAGAGATCCAGGGCTGCATTAGCAATAGCACAGCCAGCCAGGGTGGCTGAAGTGGTCATTTGGCTCTGCTCGGCACGAGAATGCCAATCCCAGTAGCACTGATAGCAGCCTGGCCTGGGGGCCCTGTTTTGGTCTCCAGATCAATGGATATGGCTAAATCGAGCTGGTGCTTCCTTCCTACTCTCTGTCACAGATGGAATCCACACCCTTTGCTCGTAAGAGAGAAGCAGCAATATATTTATTGATGTAACATAGCAATTTAACAAACTTTGTAGAGATTTAGCAAAGGATTTGAGATGTCAAGGTGCACTCAATCATTTACTGCATAGAGGATAGGCTTGAACGTGCGCTCTACCAGGAGACTTTCCTGTTCGGTCATGAGGTTCAGAGCAGACCCTCTTGCTTTCTCAATTCCTTGTTAGAGGAATCTAGGTGTGGCTGGTTCCAAACCCAGTCCCAGATTGGGTTTATGTCTGTGACCTTTCCATTGGGCTATGGTGCTCAGTGCAGAGCAGACCCCCTGGTTCCTGCATCCCTTGAACCATGGAGGCAAGGAACCCTGCGTTAGTCAGTGGTTTCTGTCTGAGGGATGATATACTCACAATCAATCTAAGACATAACCTTAGCAAAGACACACAGCTCAACCGTTAGTCACTTACTAAGCATTTGTTTTGGCAGAGCCTCTTAACACCAAGGCACAAGAAATTGCTGCAGCAAGTGTAAGGAGATGCTGCAAAGACTGCTATCTGCTGCTGCTCTTTTCTGTGGGCACAAACAACAGTGGAAGACAGAACATGGGCAGAATCAAAGACTATAAAGCCCTGTGAGCACAATTGGAAAATGTTAGAGCCCACATTATCTTCTCAGTTTTGTCAGCTGAAAGAAAGAGAGAAGCCTGAAATAGATGTGTAATGCACATCATCTGGCTGCGCGGCTGGTGTTGGTGTGAGGGTTTTGGTTTTTGCAACAATGGGACTTTTTGTGAAGATTACAACCTGCCTGGGAGGGGTGGGATCCACCTGTCCAGAAGGGGCCGGGCAATCCACGGCAGCAGGCTGGCCAACCCAGCGTGGCAGGCTTTAAACTGGAGGACCCGGGGGACAGGGTCCATAAAGGCAACGCCATTATGAACCGAGGCAGTGGAGTTGCTCTATCTGTGAGAGAACAACAGGAATGCATTGAGCAACGTACTGCAGGGAATTGCTTCGAGGGATTTGGACCGGGGGAGCCCCAGAGGTCCCTCCCAGCCCCTGCGATTCTGGGATTGCGTGACAAAGAATTCCTGCAGCAGGTGTGACCTTGAGAGTCTCCCTTACTCAAGGGGAGAAGCAGCCATACGTTCTGTTTTGGTACAGGGGAGTGGGAGGACTCTGGTCTGTTTACTGATTGTAGGGTACGATGACTGGCTGTAGCCATATCGGATAGTAATTTAGTTCTGAGCTCGGTGTTAGGCGTCCCGGAATCTCGCTTAAATCAGACAGCGTTCGGCACCGCCCTCAGTCCGCTGCTGGCACAGCTGCCGCTGAGCGCAGCGCCGGTTTCTCCATCAGCTGGGCTGGAAACAGCCCGGATTGCGGTCACCCCTGCCGGGAAAAGGCTGACGGTGCAACGGTCAGGCAGGAAGGAGGGGGGGGGAGCGGGGGAAACGCGCCATCGTTCTCAGCTCGCTTTAAGCTGCATGGTTCTGCGTTCCCTTTTGGAAAGATCCACACTTTGAAACCCAACCCCCTTCTTTAAGTGCAAGTTTTCTCATTAATTCCCCATTTGTTTCGTCAAAAATATTCCCCTCTGATTTCTGAAACAGGAGCCTCAGGTCTGCTCCTGGCTAATAGCAGGCAGCAGATGAAGGACATTTCCACACGTCTGTGCTGGTTCTGAAAGCAGTTTTATTCTGCAGGATGAGCACCGGCTGCAGCATCTGTGCGTTCTGCCCGGGTGTGGAGCAGCTCAGGTTGGGTTAGCTGGCAATGAATGAGATTTCTCTGCTGAAGTCTGTGGCCTTCAGCTGTAACCGCAGAGCAGAAAGAATGAGCCCTTGCTGGGACAGGAATACCAAAACGTTTACAACGTCTTGTTCTAATGATGGTCCTAAAAACCCACCACAGGTGATGGGCCACAGACATTCATCAGCTGATATCCAGGAAAAGAGGAAAGGAAAACAGCTCTTGGTATAAAGGAACACCCCACTCACACCCAGAATCCCAGCCAGCAACGAGCGGTGCGGCAGAGCCCTGACCTGGCTGCGTCTGCTGAGGAAGGGACACTATCTGTACGGAGCTGGTCTGATGAGGACGAGGGAGGATTTGCAGTCCCCTTTGCACAGGCTGCCCCACGTCAGGCCGCCCTTGAAATTCAGCCGCACGGAATAACACGCTGAGTACCACCACCCGCCCCCAGAGCGGGATGCACAGTTCTTCCTTGAAGTGTCCTGATCCCGATCTTTGGTGGAGAATTTCATGTTGTTGTGCATGTTACTGGGATTGTCCGAGTCCATGGCATCCCCCGCTGTGCCCGTGTAGGAGCCCAGCCGCAGCCGGTAGCCCTGGGCCTCATCGTCCAGACTGAAGAGGTTGTAGTCTGCAAACCTGACGTTGTTGGAGGCATCGTGGATGACGAACCTGACCTGGTAGACCTTCTGCTTGGCGATCTGGTGGATGTACTCGGTGCCCAGCCAGTAGTCGCCGCGCACGTTCCCAAAGCCGTACTTGTAGGTGCTCCAGGACTCGGCCCAGGTGATGTCTGTGTTGTGGCTGTTCCTCTGGATGACCGTCCAGCTCCCGTCCGTCACGTTCATCTCGCAGTACACCATGATGGGGTGGAGCCCTGAGGGCTGGATGATGTAGACGCCGCTGTGGCTGCCAGGAGGGATCTCACTGCAGTCCTCGGGCCAACCTGGGGCAGGAAACAGGTGGTTTTACATCTTACCTGGCACAAGGATATGCTGAGAGCACTCCTTGGTTGGCTCAGACCAAGGAATGGCAATGGGGTTGGTGAGAGCACTGCAGTACCCATGGAATGCTCCTTACTGTTTTTCTTCAGAGCGTTTGCCAAAGTGTTGGAGGTTTTCTTGAAAGTGTTTAGGATTTCTGCAGGCACGGAGAGGCCTGGGACAGCCAAGACCAGCACAAAAGCAAGGAGTAGAAGGCACTGGGCTACTAGAAAAGGGAAAAGATGTGAAAACATTGAGACATGAGGTGGGAAAGCCCCTGGCTCCAGCACTCACGTGAGACACAGGAACACACAATGTTTGCTGTGCTCTGTGCCAGACGGGGAGTGAAGGCCTCTGCTGCTCTGCCCAAGGGGTGAGCAGCTTGCCCTTTCCCTGTCCCCAAAGCCACGCACAAGGCAGGGTCAGGTGGAGCACAGCACCAACAGCTGACCGAGACGAGCTTTCACAGGAAAACGTTCCTGGCCCCAAAGCAGAACCCAACTGGGGTCACCAGCAGGGTGGGCATGAAGGGGTGCAGGGGAGCGCGGCCCTCTGCGTGCGCTGATGCCCCTGATCCCCATCAGGGCAGTGCTCAGTCTCTCCCGGTGCCCCGCAAGGAGCCTCCCCAGCCCTGCACTCACCCATGGCTGCGGCACGGGGCTCCCTCTGACACGCAGAGCTGTGGGGCTGCAGTAGGAGGCACTTGTAGGGCCCTCTGCAGTGGGCGGGGTAAGAGCGTCTGACCCACGCAGCCTCCTTTCTTCTGGGGGTGGGAATCAGAGCGAGTTCCCTTCTGGCCCTCATAAAACAGGACCCGAGAAGAAAGTGACCATGGTGCCTGGCACACAGCTGCAAAGAAAACAACACCTGTGCCGGCAAGAGTGCTTGGAATGCTCTCTGCTGTGAGTGCTCAGCTCCTTGGATGAAATTCCTGCTGGGAACGGCGGAGCTGAGAGCTCCAAAGAGCTGCTTTTGAACAAACACTTGGATGCCAGTCCTCATCCAGCAGGGAGAGCAAACAGTGGGGACTGGAGAGACCTTGAGTGGTCACGGTGAGAATGGAGGGCATCTGAGGTGCTGGGAACTGGATGAATCCAGGGGTGGATGGGGTGGGACACAGATCTGAGAGCACTTAGAAGGCCACAGAGGAGACTGGAGGGTACATAGAGGGGGTATGATTTGCATGTAAGTTATGGCAGGGGCTGAGGTGTGCTGTAGTTGCCCTTCTCCTTTTCCCCTTCTGTCTGCTTTCCTCCAGTTTTTGGATACTTCTCGCAGGTGCCACAGTCAGTCAAAGCTGATGGGGAGTGGCAACGCATGACACCCGCCAGCCCCCCAGCAGCTGCAGGTGCATTCCTCAGCGCCCAGGAACTTGTCCACATCCAGCTTGCTCAAGTGTTCCTGACCTGATCCTTTCCACCAAGGATGAATCTCCCTTGCTCAGTTCTTTCCCAGCAAGCCCATGCTTTCCCTGCTCTTTGTACTGCAGGAATTCTCACCGTGGATTTCCTATTGATCTGAGCTCCTTGTGAAGCAGCACTGCTCCAGAGTGACCATCCAGGAGAGTGCATGGGGCAGCTCTGAGGTGGGGACAGTTTATCATGAAGACAAGGAGCCCATGCACATATCAAATCAGTTTAGGATTCCAGCTCCTGCACTTCAAGGATGTCTACATGCCTTTGCACAGGTGCTTCTCAGCGCAGAGAGATCTCAGTGCGGAGGACAAGATGCAACTTACTTGCTCTATTTGGGAACAGCTGCAGTGCATTAAGCTCCATGGCAGCAGCAGCAGCAGTGGCGGTGCAGCCCTGTCCTGGGCCACTCTGTGTTCTCAGAGCATGTCACAATTGTGCTGCTGCCTTTGTACCTGAGCAGTGAGCTGGGACTACAGGCGCTCCCTAGCTGCGCAGTGTTGGACCCTCTGACACACGGCTGTCCTGGGGCTGCACACAGCAGCTCCTGCCTCTGTGAGGTTGAGTCATCTCCTCCTATCCCATACCTTCTCTCTCCCAGAAATAAGGAAGACAGTACAATTATAATTTGTAACAAAAGCAAAGGCAAATTCTCCCCCACTCCATACAGGCAAAGAGTCAGGGAAAGGACCCAGGACTCCGCTACACCCCACAGACAATGCACGATGAGCAGCTGCTGATGTTTCGGCCCTTGAGGAAAGATCCTGGTGTAAGTCCACATGAATCCACGCTCCCATTGGGGCCCTGGTGTCCAGGTCCATGGGGTGCCTGGAAGTCACTGGGGTCTGGGAGGCTCCGGAGATTTTCGGCAGCATCGCCAGACAGACCTAGGAGGAGGTAAGAAGGATGGAGAGAGAGCAGGAGGGGAAAGAGACCTCATATCCCCATCTGTTGGAGGTGAGGGAAGAGGGCTGTGGGGCAGCTGTGGGTCCTGGGAGCAACCAAAGGATCTAAGGGTGAAAGAAAGTATGGGGCCTTGAGGTCATGGGGACAACTGAGTCACCTGCATGTAAGCAGGGCCCTAGAGGAACTACAGAGATTCTGGGGAAAATGAGGAAAAGTGACAGGGGCAGTTAAGGAGTCTGGGGGAAGCAGGGTGCTGTGGAGAGGTCCTGGGCGTGAGTGAGGAGCCTCAGTATGGGTCAGAGTGTGAAGGGAGTCCCAGGGGAAAATAAGAGCTCTGTCAGGCAGGGAGTTACTGCAGTCTGTGCTGTGGGGGACATCCGGTCCCCTCACATCTGTAGGGATTCCTGAGGTGCTGGGACTTCAGAGGGGACTTGGGAACCTGATACAGATCTGTGAGGGACCCCAACAGTGGGAACGGCGAGTGAAGCAGGTCGAGCACTCACAGCAGCAGCAGCAGCACGAGGCTGACGAAGCCAAGGACCAGTCCCAGCTGCAGGGATGTGGTGAGGTGCAGGGGGGCTCTGCCCTGGGGCCAGCGCAGCACAGCTCTGAACCGGGCCTGGAGCCCCTGCTCGGCCTCCACGCTTCCCCCTGACACTGCAGGACCCAGCCAGGCATGTGGGAACTCCTGCCACGAGCCACAGCACCCCTGCAGACCTTCAGCTCCTGCCGCCCCTTCAGCCCCTGCAACCCCCGCTCTGGCACAGTCTTGGTGGCCCCCGGAGCCCCACACACCCCATTGCCCCACGGGGAGCTGGGATCAGGGAACACCTGCTTCCCTCTCTCCTCTCACCGGGGCCCCGGCCGTGCAGAGACTCTGCTCTCGCGTAGCCCACCTCCCCGCACCCCGTGCACCCGGGGATCCCGGTGTCCCTCTGCACCCCACGCCGCCCTGGAGGCTTCCGATCCATGCGCACCGTTGAGGTAGAAGTACTTGCGAGCCAGGGTCTCAGAGGCGGCCCCCAGGCGACAGGCGACGGTTCCCAGAGTGGGGTCCTGCACGGTCAGGCTGGGCGGTTCCCCAACGCCCCTCTGCAGCTCCTCAAACAGCGCCAGGTCCTGCGTGCGTATCTGGGGCGTGGGGAACCCGGCCCATCGGGGCGTGCACGCAAAGGCACCCATGTCACACGCGTGCTCCTCGTGTCTTCACGTGCTCCTCGTGTCCCACACTCCTGCGCGGGCATCGCACCTCACGTCCCACGCGCGCTGCTCGCGTGCCAACACGCGCACGGTCACTTCTTCACAGAAGCGCACGAGAAGCCGCACACGCGGTGAGCAGCTCGTGCTGTGCTCACCCTTCGCGCGGGTGCTCAGCTGTTCCTGCCCCGCGCATTCATCTCATCACAAGCAGCGCCCCCCGCAGCCGGCAGCGCCGTGCCCCCCGTCCGGGCCCCTCCTGGCGCCTGCGCGCACTGCCCGCGCCTGCTGCTTACGTCCTTGGCGAACATCCACGTAACCTGCAGCTCCGGCGGGACGGCGAAGGGCACGTCGCAGTGCAGCGTGATGGCTTCGTCCTCGTGGACCCACAAGTCCTGAACTGGGAGCACTGCCAGCTGAGCTCACCTGCGCTCATGCACCTGCAGGAGCCGCCGCGCCGCTGCGCGACCGCCGGTGCTCGCGGCGGGCGTGGGCAGACACGCGGCCTGGGTAGCGACGTCCCGGTCCCCTGCCCCCTACCTGGGCAGTCCACAGGGAACTGGCAGTCCACGAGGCGGCAGGTTGAGCACTGGAAGATGCGCGCGGCCGGCTGGTGCCCTGGGAAGGAGGTGCTTGGCAGCGTCAGGGAGTAGGGGGGAACCTGGGGACGGGGGGATGGCAAAACACGAGAGAACTCACCGCAGGGGGGGATGCAGGCAGGAGCTGGTTGGGGGAAGGAAGCATCGTTAAACTGGGGATCGCGAGGGGTCCTCATCCCTGTGACGAGCTGTAAGGGCTCAGCCCCTGTCCAGCCCTGGAATGGAGTCCCTGGGGGTGCCTCCAGGGAAGGGATGCCCAGGGTGGAGACCTAGAGGGGTGTCTGTGTGCCCCATATGGGGAAGCTGGGGGGTGGAGTCCCACGGTTCGCATGGGGGGGGAGTCCTGGATGGGGGTCCCTGCTGGCCCCATACCTTGCTCCAGCTGGCTCAGCTTCACCCAAATCATTTGGATGGCTTCCCGCAGAGACACCTCAAAAGGCTCTGGAGGCTCACAGATGTCCATGTCAGACAGTGCTCCCACCCCCAAATCTTCCAGTGTCAAGACTCGTGTCCCCACTCATCCCACACATTCCCCATGCAACTCTCCTGGATCCCAGACTTTCATATGCCCCTAAATATCCCCCAAAGCACCAGACTCCATACCCTGAAACCCGTCTACCCTCAGGATTCCCCACATATGCCTTTACACCACGCCTGAAATCCATACATCCTATATTCCATGGATCCCCATCCAAGTCCTCTGAGCCCCGTCCCCTGTGCCCCAAACCTCCCATACATCTCATCCCTGCTCACTCTTGTCCTTCTGCTTCTCCAGTAAATGCAAGGCATCCATGACGATCTTCCGCAGTGCTTCGCTCTGCGCTGCTCCTGGGACCACAACAAGGGCACTGGGACCATCATACGGTCAGGACTGGAGGGCTCAGGGCTGGAGGGTTCCAGTAAGAACTGGAGGAGGGCTCAGGGCTGATTCCCAGAGTCCAGGTCAGGGCAAAGGGGTTCTGGGAATGGCCAGGCATCCCTGAAGACCCCCCAAGATCTTGGGAAGCTCTGGGAGTTGCTGCAAGTCCACACTGTACCCCTGCCCAGGGCCGGGATCCATCCAGTGTTCCATGCAAGTCTGGTGTTCCCAGAGATCCCCGGGATCCATATCAGAGTTGGGAGAGTGCCAGATGGGTCTGAGGGGTGCCTGGGGGAGTCCACCTCAAGACTGGGGAGACCGTGGCATGCTTGAGGGCCCCCAGAATGCTCGTCTGAGTGTCCCATTGAGATGGTGGCCCCTCGGGTGCCAGTCAGGACGGGGGCAGAGGGTCCCATTGGGGTGGGCATCCCTGGGGTCCCACCACCCACCCACAGTGACGGGGGCAAGTGGCACAGCAGCCTCTGCAAGGGCCTCCAGGCAGTGCTGGTGCTGGGAGTCCTGAGAGCTCCTGGCCATCTCACGGCAGAGCCGGGCCCACTGAATGGGGGGCCCAAAGCAGAGCAGGCAGGGGTGCAGCCCCGGAAGCCAGGGCACCAGGAGCAGCAGGAGGGGCAGCCACCGCCGCTCCATGGTCCCAGAGCACAGCACGGCCTGCCTGGGTGCCCAGGCAACGGGGGTTCCGAGGTGGGGCCCAGGTGCCCGGGTCACCTCCCGTGGGGATGGAGACACTCTGACATGTGGCTTTTGGAAATGGAGGAGCTCTCACTTCCTCATTTTCATCTCCTCACATTCTTTGCCTTCAGTCCCCACCGATATTACTGATATCTCCAAACACCTTCTTTCTTGACACTTAATTACTGCCACCCACCTCCCCCCATTCCCTACAAGCTTATTCCTTGCGCACCCTCAGCCCAGGCTCTTGGATCTCCCCATCCCAGCTGGTGAAATCCACACAAGATTCACTTTTGGTTTGGTGCCCAACTGTATGCAAGGTACCTACATAACTTCTGAAGTGCTCGGTCTCTGGAATGGTAGGAATTGCTTTGTGTTTGGAGGCAGCGCTCATTGCGCAGTGTTGGAACACTCCTGGAACCGAGCTGCTCACGTTCCACATTTTGTGCTGAAGCACAAATCCCAGAGACTGCAACACAGAGGAATGTTCCATCCCGAGGGACAGAACAGCAACCCCGGTTTTCATAGGAATGCGTAACACTGAAACCTGAAAACAACCTACAAACAGGTGGGTATGGAAACCCACTAATGGAAAACAGTAATGGAGAGAGAGGGAACACAGACAAGCCCCGGAAACAGCGGGAAAATGTGGAGCAGCCACTTCCCAACACTGTTGTTGAGATGCTTTAACATGGCAGGTGCAATCTGTGGGCCCTGGCAGGGGTCACTGGGGCAACCCTGTGTTTGTGGTTGTGTCTTTAAACATGGGCTCACGTTAGCAGTCTTTTCACCAGATCAGCATCAGATTCTTCAGCCACGTGTTTGCTCTCAACAGACCGGCAGCGTCACCCTGCGCACATGCGCTCAGTCCTTCTGGCTGCTGGCCAACCATCTGGGACTTGGACAGAGCCGGATTCTCATGTTCTGACTGGAGTCTGGTGTGCTCTTCCTACCAGCAGGTCACAGCCGTTCCCGTGGTTCACACGTTACGATCTGCTGGAAAATATTCCGTACTTGTCTGCTTACTGCTGGCCCAGTTTGACCTGCTCCAGAACTCAGGATTCAGTCAAATATTTGAACGAAGCGTGAAATAAAGTGATAAATAAGTTGCTTTATCTCTTCATAAGCACGCAGACTTTCTGCTGTTAACAGAAATCGGTCTTCAACCCTTCCCACTCATCGCAGAAGTTCCTGATGCCCCCACGACACAGGGAGGCTCTGGGGTGCGTTCTGCCCCCGTCCTCACCCACAAAGCATTAAGAGGGACCTTGGAGGCGGGGGGAGCTTTGACAGACCTTTCTCAGATTTCAACCAGAAACTATCCCGGAGGGGCATTTTGGGGATCTTTATTTTGTAAATGATCATTTCTGCATCTTTTTCTAACCCTTACATGAAGTGCTGCGGGGGCTGCCTTGTTGTGGGGGGAGGGCGACCCTGGGGTTCCTGACTCCCGCTGCAGGTCCCTGGGTGCACCACTTGTCGGGGGCTGCGTCTCAGTGTCACCGCAACCCCGGGGGATGGTGCCATCAGCGGCCCCCTCCCACCCCTCCCTACCATGGTGCTGAACCCTGTGGCCACCCCAGACCCTCTGCGCACCCCCTTCCTTGTTCCTGTTCCTCCCTGACCCCCCTTGGCCGCGGCATTTTATCGCAGTTAGGTGGGACCAGGACTGCTGCGTGTTCCCTCTTGCCCACTGAAACCTTTTGCACCCGAGATTAAATTAACATTAACCTGCACAACTCTGTTTCAGGCTGAAAACGGAGTGTTTGGGGGAGGAAGGGGCATCTGCGTCCTGCTTTGCAGGGGACTGGAATGACGGCATCACGTGGTGACATGTGACCACCACGGGAGCTCTACTGGGGCTGCGGGGACCGCAGTCCCGGCGGTCATTTTGCATGGCAGGCATCCATCACCCGTTGGGGCACATGAGAGGTGCACAACACTCAGGGCTCTGTCCCACGGTGGGGCCGTCAGGAGCACAGGGCGGCGGCGGCGTCGCGCTCCACCTCGATGGACACGATGTGGTGCCCAGGCACCATGGCCAGGCCCAGCACACGCGGCTCGCTGCCCGGGAACGCATCTGCAGGGGACAGCAGCACCGTGTCAGCCTCACCGCCACGTCCCCATCCCCACCATTCCCCGTGGTCCCGCTCCCATCACCCCCGGTACCCCAACCGCCCTCCCCATCGCTGCCTCCACTTCATCGCTCCCCTCACCTCCATCCGACCCCGAGTCCCCACTGCCCCTGCGGCCCCATTTCCCGCCGTGGCCCTGTACCAGCAGCCTTGAGGAACTCCTGCGCGGAGCCGAGGATGATGTTGGCGTCGCGGTCGGTGCAGAGGAAGGCTCCCACCAGCGTGCGCCCGTCCGACATGCGCACCCGCAGGCTGCGGTTCAGCAGCGCCGCCAGGCGCCGGGCGCGGGGCTGCGGCCCTCCGGGAGGCTGCACGGGGGAAGCCGGGTCGGACACGGTCCTCCTATAGAACCTCTGCAGCACCCATAACCCCCCAGGCATCCCATGAGCACCCGCACAACCCCACCGCGCCCCTGCGGCTCCCAGGACCGCCTGCTGAACCCCGCGCTTTCTCCGTGCCTCGCCGGCCCCCTGCAGCACTGCCACAGCCACGCCCGCGGCTCCCAGCAGCGCCCGCACCGCTGCCGCAGCACCCCTCCATCTCTGCACCTCGCACGCAGGGCCCTTGTTCCCACTCCGTCGCTCCCAGGACCTCAAAGCACACCTACGCTTCCCAGCACCCCACAGCGCAACCCAGACGCTCACCCGGAGGATCGCTTACCGTGCTCCCAGAGCGCCCGCCGAGCAGCCCGCAGCTCTCGGCACTGCCTGCTGGACCCGCACAGCTTACGGGATCACCTACGGGACCCCGCAGCCCCCATACAGCTCCCAGGACCCCAGCAGCTCCCGTACCGCTTCCGCCTCTACAGCTCCGCGACCCCACGGACCGCCCCGTGCCCGCCCGCACCCGCCTGCGGCCCCACCCCGTAGAGCCCCGCGGAACTTACAGACCTACAGCCTCCGGCGCCCCCATCCCGCCCCACAACACCCCGAACGGCCTCCCCGCTCACCGCCGGCTCCGCCATAGAACCGCACCGCTCCCCAGCAGCCCCCGCGCGGCGGCGGAAGAACCGCGCTTCCCGGCATGCCCCGTGGCGCCGCCGGGGGAAGGAGGGGAGGCGGTTCTCGGGTCAGCCAATCAGGAAGGGCGCTGCCAGCCGCGTTGCCATGGAGACGGCATCGCTTTCCGGCGGCGTTGTCGTTAACGGCGCTGCTTTCCGGCAGTGTTGCCGTGGCAGCGGGTGGCAGAGAGGCGGTTCTTTTTTTTCCCCCCTCTCTTTGGCCGCGTCTTTTTGCCGGGGTTCACCGAGCGGCAGGGAGTCTCCGTATGGATCGGGGGTTCTCGGCCCATCTGTTGGATGTCCCGGTGTGTTGCTTTTGTTTTTAGGGACCTCCGGGGCTCGCGGCCGTTGTGGAATACCTCCATCGCTCGGTGGGGCTGGGAACGCCATGCTTGGTGGCGCTCCTGTTTGAAGTCCCTTCGTTTAGCCTGGCCGTTTTGGGGCTCTTAGCGCAGCTCCTGCCGTGGTCTCACTGCTTTTTAGGTTTCCTGCAGGTGGCGCCGTTAGGAACTCTGCAGGGGTTCAGGTACCCCCAGATCTGAGCCCCCCCGCTGACGGGCTCGTTGTAAGGAGCTGTAGTTGACTCCGTCCCCTCCATCCGAAAAGTTATGACCAAATGTTTATTTAGAAAGCAATTGTTAGAAGTCAATTAACCAATTAAGACACTTGTGTTTGGATGGCAAAGATTTGTGTCTACTTGGTGTTTGTATGATTGGTGAAGCGTCGCGAAAGAGTGTGAACCTGCAGTGCTCAGCCAGTGAGGACCAGGGGAGAAAGAGATCAGCGGCGGGCAATAGGGCATAAAAAATGGAACACTGTTTTCTCGGGGCTCTCCTGCTTGCAGGAGGCCACCATTGACTGCAAATAAAATCTGCTCTATCAGAGAAAACGTCCTAGAAAATTATTTGGATATTTCCAACACTGCTGTGCCCCCACCTCACCCTACAGCAGAACACGGCCCCAGTGACGCTGCCAGGCTGCGCCTGTCCCCTCCCGCTTCGTCATGACTGCATTAGGGCCTCTGGTGATGCTGGGGAAAGTAGGGACCTCAGGACCTCCCTCAAGATCCCACCAATGCCTCTGGGCGGCCTCAAAACCAAAAGGAGTCCTCAACCCCCCCGTGGGGGGCAAGGCAAAAGGGGGCAAAATAAAATAAATTTTATAAAAAATTTATAGAGCTTTGAACTAGATATGAAGAGGTGTGGGAGTGAAACTGGAGTCACTGGAAATGAGCCTGTATGTAACATGCCTGCTCTTGTGGGAAAGGAATGTGCTGGTAAGATCCCACAGTCTTGTGTGGTGGTGAAGGAGGAGGGTCACACACCTTTTTGCACGATCAACACAAGAGTTGGTGTGAGGTTGGTTACTATGGAAACACCTGAGTATGGTCAAGAGGTGTTAGGCCTTCTGCCACTCAAAAGGTGGCCCAGCTGAGGGACATTTACACTAATGCAAGCAGCAAAGGTAACTAACAGGAGGAGCGGGAAGCCATTGTGCTGTCAGTCAGTTATTGTTAGTGGCCATCACGGAAACGTGCTGGGATGACTTGTGCAGCTGAAGTGCTGTGATGGACGATTACCAACTTTTGAAAAAAGATAGGCAAATAAGGAGACGCCGTGGTGTGGCCCTATATGTTAAGAAAAAAAATGTGAACGTCTGGAAATTAATGATGGTGATGATAGGGTTGAGAGCTTAAGGATGGGAGCCTAAGGGAAGGCTGAGATACTATCAGAGCTAACCCACTGGAGAGAATCTGAGCTGCAAACTGGATTGCATGTGATGGAGAGTCCCCCAGAATAATGAAAAGCCAGGCGTGACCCTACTAAAATTGTTCCCATCTGTGGAGGTGTCCGACAGCGGTGGGCAACCCTCTAAAAACCTGGTACCTCCCAGGAATTAACACCTTTCTGTGGGATGTGTGTGTCTGTTGGGGATATGCTAATTCTGGTCACTGGAACAAAGGTAACTGATGTGATGGCTCTTCTGTATGTTCTAAAATGGCACTGCAAAGGCTCTCCTTTCTGCCCCCCATTAAGTCTCCCCTGTGTCAGCATTCCCTCAACTCTGCACTGCTTTCTTTGCCCCCCAGTTCTTCTGCCCTTCTGCTGCATTTGGTGGTCCCATCCCCTCCCATTGTATCCACTAGTAACATGTCTTGGGAAAAGTGGCGTGCTGTGGGAAAACGATATGTTCTGGGGAATAGATAAACATTTCAGTGAGAAAAACACTTCTTTGGGGGGAAAAGATATGTATTTTGGGGAAAAAAAGGGTGCTTTTTGCAGGGGAATAATGTGTTATCATGGAAATAAGAGGTTTTGGGGGAAATAACGATTTTGGGGGCAAGTAACAGGTTTGGGGGGAAGTACTCATTTGTGGCCTGCGATACTTCCAGGGATGGGGCACTCAGTACCCTGGGCAGCAGTGCCAGTGCCTCACTGCCTCTGGGAGAATTTCCTCCTTACATCTCATCTCAACCTCCCGTCTTTTAGTTTGAAACTGTTGGAAATATCGAAGTAATTTATCAGGGCAGTGTCTCTGATAAAAGCAGATTTTATTCACGATTGCAATGGTGGGCATTCTGCAAGCAGGAGCACACAACTGAAAGCATGCTGCAGTCTTATCCCCTATTCCCTGTTGGCAGGAATCCCTGCCCTGTGCCCTCACTGATGGGGCACTCCAGGTCACAGTTGGCCCTCTGCTGGCTGTCCCCTGGGAGCTGGCAGCATCCACCTCTGTTTCTCCAGGGAAGCAGCATCCATAAAGCAGTTGTCAGGCCATGATCTACCTGCCACGTGTCTGCCAGGTTGGTTTGTTTCCTCTCGCACAGCTCTGGGTACAGGTGTGTGTCTTACAGCCTTTCCCTTTGGATGCCCACCATCCCCCAGCGGCTGTGCAGCTGATGGATAGCCTCTGCGTGAGGCCCTGTGGCAGTGTAAGGCTGAAGTGTGGGGAGAGGACAGCAGTGGTGACAGGCAAGGGGGATCTCTCCACTAAAAGAGGGAAGACGTAGGCTAGATGTGAGGGGGAAATTCTTCACTCGGGGTGGTGAGGCCCATTCCCCCCTTCCCCACCACCTGCTTTCAGGCAGCTGCAGGGAGCACTGAGGTCTCCCCTGAGCCTCCTCTGCCCCACTCTGACCCATCCCAGCTCCCCCAGCTGCTCCCATCAGACGCGTGCTCCACAGCCCTCACAGCTCCATTCCTTCTCTGAACACAGTCCAGGGCCTCCACGTCTTTCTTGCAGTGAGATCCCAGCACTGAACGCAGCACTGAATGCAGCCTCACCAGGGCCGGCACAGAGGGACGGGCAGCTCCTGCTCTGCTGGCTGCAGCACTGCTGACACAAGCCAGGATGCCGTTGGCCTTCTTGGCCCCCTGGGCACGCTGCTGGCTCATGGTCAGTGGGTATCAGCTCACACCCCCACATGCTTTTCCTGCATGCATCTTTCCAGCCATTCTGCCCCAGGCCCATAGCACTGCATGGGGCAGTTGTGACCCAAGTGCAGGACCTGGCACTTGGTCCTGTTGCAGCTCATCCCATTGGCCTCTGCCCACTGATCAGCCTGTCCACATCCCTCCATGGGGCCTTCTTACCCTCAGGCAGATAATGCTTCCTTCCAACTTGATGTCATCTGCAAACTTACTGCAAGTGCACTTAATCTCCTTGTGCTGATCTTCAAGATATTAAACAGGTTTGATTGTCCTGCACATGCTGTGTGATTGCACTCAATCTGCTCTATGACCTTCCCTATACCGTGGTCAGGCTGATGGGCCTATAGTTCCCCAGATTGTCCTTCTGACCCTTCTTGTAGATGGGCATCACATTAGCAGTCTCCAGTTGCCCGGGACATGCCCAGCTCACCAGGACTGTTGGTAAACAGTGGAGAGTATCTTGGCCGTCACCTCTGCCTGTTCCCATCCATCCCCACAGATGGGTGGAGCAGCAGGTCGCTCACTCTTTCCACTCAAGTCATAGGGAGTTACTCTGCTCCCACCCCTGTGTGCCAGCTCAGAAGCTGAGTACCCCAAGGATAACCAGTCTGTTAAAGACAGAAGTAAAGAGGGCTTTAAGAATGACCATGCCATGGACAAGAACTCCTGTGCAGTGGCAGTGCCATGGTGCAGATCCATGACCACGTCAGCCTGAGCCCAATGCCCAGCCATGTCCTGCAGTGCAGGGCTGTAGTGTGTGGGGGGTGAGGTGCAGGGGCAATAGGCTGGTGGGTAGGACACCTTCATCCCTGGAGCTGTGGCCCCTGCCCACAGGGAGCAGCAGCCCTGAATGCTGGGAGCTGTGCTGCACCCCGTGCTGCAGGAGATGGAGCAGCATGCAGCACTGCAGTGCTGCCAGAAACAGCCCTCAGATGGCCAGAGATCTGTGTTCTGTCAACGCCAAACAGACTGCTCCTGGGAGCTGACAGGCTAGTTTCCTGCAGCCTTTTGGCACAGGCATAAAGAAATGTAATCATAAGAGGTGTCAGAATTTGTTTTTGGAAGAGCTTGTGTGTTGGGGAAAGCTGAACGGCGGAGTGAGGCAATGTCTGAGAGCAGGCGGTGCTCAGCAGTTTGGTGGCTGACTCAAATGCATTGCTCCCACTGTCTATTCGTTTTCCTTTGTATTCATCTGTTGTCAGCTGAACGGGAAGAAGAAATGCAAAGTCTTTATCTGTACTTTACATTTGTGCACTGCATTTGTTTCATAGAGAGTACTGGATAATTGCAAAAGAATATTACACACTTGTACAATTGAGAACTAATTGGTATGAATGCTTCTTTGCTTTGCTGTTTAATTGGAGCCAAAGGCAGTTTGGGGAAGTGGCCATGGTCTTGGGAAGGGATCTGATGTTTTTCTTGTTTAAATGTGATCTGGAAAACTGTGGTGTGGAAACCTGATGGCAGGGCTGCCTTGCTTTGGCATCTGCCGTTTGCCTCCTGGTGCCAGCAATGCTGTTGCACTGCAGGAATTCCCATCTGGGCTCTTGGCAGAGGCACCAACAGCTGCACTAAGCACCCAGGAGGGAAGCCTTCAGTCCTCTGGCCTTCCTCTGGACCCCCTTGTCTCCAAGCCCTCCCGCAGGTGTCTAGGTCTGCACACCTCTGCACCTTTCTTGGTGCCTGGATGCCCCTTGCCCTCCCTCCAGCTCTCTTGGCCCCTTGTCTCAAGACCTCTTGTCCAGCCTTTAGGCCTTCAGGCTTCCTGGCTGCAGGTGTCCAGACCTCAGGGCTGCAGGGCGCTCAGCCCCCAGGTCCCCTTGGCCTCTGATCTCCCAGACTCCCTCCTTCTTGGCTCCATGCCTCAGTTTGGCCTCAGGGCTGCTAAGCTGCAAGGCTCTTGGCCTCCCTCCAAGCTGTTTCTCCTTAAGGCCTCTAACCCTTCTGGGCAGCTCTAGGCCTTTAGGACAGCCTGCAGGCATCTGTGCTCCATTACGCCTCTAAGCCTTCCTTTGTACCTTAAATGCCCATAGACTCTTTTAGGTCTCTTTTTTGGCCCCTTTTTGTGCATCAGGGCCTCAAAACCTCAGTGCTTCCAGCCCAGCCCATAGGCACCTCGGCCCTAGGCCTCCCCTTAAGCCTCAAAGACTTCAGACTCTACACAACCATTAAGGTCTCTGAGCCTCCTTGGCCCCCAAAACTTCAGGCCTCAGTACCTTCTGGGCCTTCTGCACTCTGCATCTCCAGGCCTCTCGGCCAGCCTCCAGCTCTTCAGAAATCTATCCCTAAAATCTTACCTCTTAGCTGCTAAGCCCCTAAGCCCTAACACCTGAATTCTGGCCCTGATGCCTCTGGTGCTCTTGGCTGTGATTCTGGCCTCTCGCAGGTTCCCTTGAGCTATGGCAGCAGAGGTTGAACCTTCCCACCAGTGCCCCGCTTTGTGCTGTTGCTGTGTGACAGCTGGCAGCAGAGGGGCGGTCTGACAGAACTTACAAAAGTGCAGATGGAGCAAAGGGGCATAATTGAATTCCTGTGAGGAAAGAATCGCACGCACTGACAGTCACTGATGCTTGCTGAATGTTGATGGAGACAAGCAAATGGCTGTGAACACAGTGAGGGGTGGGTGGTGCATTTCAGCAGCGGGATGGTGACGTGACAGACATGCCATGTTCCAGAGAGCCGTGCAGAGCTGTCACACCACAAAATGAAGAGCGTCTGGATGAGCCAATCTGTGCAAATTGGCTAATGGTGGTGACGATGTTGCTTTATTAAATAGTGTTATTGTGCTCTTTGTATCTGGTGTCGTTTCCATGAAAATACCCAGGAAGCATTACTTTTGGAGAAACCTACATGAAATTGTGTCACATAGATGCTACACTCTGCCCTATGTTTCCCAGTTCTCCCGACAGCACCCATTGTATCCAATAGAGCCACCTCTGCCCTATAAGCTCTGTCCCATAACCCCCACAGCTTTGCCCTGTAAGCTATGCCCCATAAGCTTCTGCTTTGCCTATAAGCAATGGGTTCTGTGGATCCCTATGGGGCTCTACAGTACACACCATAGCCACCACTTCCCGCTGCAGACAGGAGGAGAAGGATGGGGCTATTTCTGACCTCCTTATCACCTGGCCCCACCTCTGCCTCTTTGTCTCTTCTTTGTCCTTGGCAAGTGACAAATTCCTGGGGTGGGGCCACGGGGGTGGTCCGTTCCCACAGTCTGTCAGAGGCAGAACCCACAGCACCCATAGAGAACCACAAGAACATCACACAGAGTCATAGAACCCAATAGAGCCATATAAGAACCACAGGGAGCCAAAGGGAACAAATAGAGACCCATATGGGAGCGATAATGACACACTGTCACACAGGGACCTGCAGGGACCCATAGAAGTGCATAGGGGAACATACTGTGCTGTAGCAACCCATAGTGCCCCACAGCCAGTTGCGTTGAGGTTCACTCACCATGAGACAAAATGCACGGCATTGTGGGATAGCCTGAGTGGCCATCTCACACTCATGGCCACTCTCCATCTCCATGGCTCCCACACCAACCCCATTGCGCTACCCACACTAAGCCCTATCCCACACCAAGCCCTGCCCCACACATGCAGCTGCTGCTGCTCAACAATTTTTATTGGCTGAAAGCAGGAGAGTTGGGAGATCCAAAGGGAATTGGTCAGAGGTTGGGGCCGGAAGGCAGAGCATCTGGGGCTTTCATTCCTCATTGAGTCCCTTCTATTGGGAGAGAAGATGGAGGGAGGTGATGAGGCACATGACAGATAATTGGGTGAAGCTGGGGCAGGGACATGGGGCAGGAACCCACCTTGGCACCAATGTCACGGCTCCGTGCCCGCAGCTTGTTAACCTGGGACTCAGCCATGTCGGCACGTTCCTCTGCCTCATCCAGCTCGTGCTGCACCTTGCGGAACTTGGCCAGGTTGGAGTTGGCCTGCTCTTCCTGTGGGGTGAGGCAGTGGCCATCTTGGCAGCTGTCGTATCACCTATCCATCCACTGGCCCAAAAATCCATCCAGCCGCCCATCCATCCACCCAGGCTTTTCCTATCTACCCAGCAATCCTTCATCTACTCTTTCCCACCCATCCATCTTCTTTCTCCCTCAGTCCCATCATCCTTGCAGCCATCTCAGCATCATTCTGTCCATTCACGCTTCCCCATTCTGTGTCCCAACCCAGCCATCCATCTCTACTCTTCCATTTATCCATCTTCTCAACCATCCCTTTCTCCAATTTTCCCACCTATATCTTCATCTGATATCTCCATCCATCAATCATTTTCTCCATTTCCACATTTTTCCATCTTCTCCAATTTCTTCAGGCATTCTCCTCCATCAATCAGTTTCTCAAATTTCTCTGATTTCTACAATTTCTCCACCTAGTTCTCCACCCAATACATCTGTCCATTCATCCATTTCTCTAACCTTTTCTCCAGCCATTCATAAATCGTTTTTTCTAGTTTTTCCAATTTCTCCATCTATTTCTCCATTTTTCCTAATTTCTCCCTCCCATTTTCCTCTTCCTCCCCACTGAACTCACCGCCTCCTCTGCCTGCCTCTTATAGGCCTTCACCTTCAGCTGCAGCTTGTCCACCAGATCCTGCAGCCTCACCATGTTCTTCCGGTCCTCCTCTGTCTGGGGGAAGGGGGAACGCCAAGGTGGGAGACAGTCGGTCCAGGTCCCACAGCCTCTCATAGATCTCCAAGTTTTAGGTGGCAATGTTTTAGCTTTACCATGGTGGCAATTAAAACTGGATATTATTTAGAAATGTTCTTGTGAGGGGTGTGTCCTCCCTACAAGCTTGTATGTGATTGGACACAGAGGCAGCAGATGGCCGTGGTCATCAGTGTCCACTGGCCATGATGTTCTAGGTCACCCATGTCCCTGTGACCACCAGGTCTGTGCTTTAAATCATCCCTGCCCCTACAGCTAACAGGTCAACCATGTCCTAGGTCACTCATCCCCATTGCTACCAGGTCAACCACGCTGTAGGGCATGCGTTTCCCTAAAGCCAACAGCTCAACCGCATTCCAGGTCATGCAGCATCTATGTGAACATAGAGTGGGTGACGTTCCAGGTCATTCATGCCTTTATGGCCACCAGCTCTACTGTGATGTCCCACCTGGTAGCTGAGCTCCTTGACACGCCTCTCTGACTTGCGGAGTCCCTTGATGCTCTCAGCGTTGCGCTTCTGCTCGGCCTCCAGCTCATTCTCCAGCTCCCGCACCCGAACCTCCAACTTCTGCAGCTGCTTCTTGCCTCCCTTGAGGGCCAGCTGCTCAGCCTCGTCCAGCCTCAGCTGGAGGTCCTTGACAGTCTGCTCCATGTTCTTCTTCATCCTCTCCAAGTGGGCACTTGTGTCCTGCTCCTTCTTCAGCTCCTCCGCCATCATGGCCGCCTAGGCAAGGGAGATGAGACACCAAAGAGGGCATGGAGAGATGGAGGAATGTGGGGAGTCCCATTGGTTCACTGATCCCATTAGTAGGAGAGTGACTGAGGGTGTCCTTGGTCCCTCAACCAAGTCCACCATGACACTCACATCAGTGATGGCTTTCTTGGCTTTTTCCTCGGCATTCCGGCACTCCTGGATGGCTTCTTCCACCTCTGTCTGCAGCTGGGAGATGTCGGCCTCCATCTTCTTCTTCTGGTTGATGAGGCTGGTGTTCTGGAAGAGAGGAGCATGGAAATCACCTGCTGTTCTCCAATGGGACTTCCTAGGTCTTTCTGCCCTCCAGTGGAATGTTCTATGTCTTAATGCTCTATTTCTTGCCTCTCTCCAATGGGATTTTAGGAGATGCAAGGCTGTCTTCATCAGTGTCCTCACCTGGGAGTGGAGAAGCTGGACCCGCTCACTGGCCTCAATCAGTTCCTGCTCAGCCAATTTGCGAGCCCTCTCGCTCTGCTCCACCATAGCCCGCAGCTCCTCCAGCTCCGACTGGAGGAGGTTGTTCCTCCGCTCCACAATGGCAATATTCTCTTTCAGGTCCTCATTAGCTCGTACAGCATCATCCAGCTGTAATTGGGTGTCCTGCAAGGCAACGTGGTGGGAGGAGCATGAGTAGAGAGGTGGGAATTGGGTGAACACACACCCAACAGCCATCTTGTGCCACCCAATGGCCATGTAAGGATCACCCAATGGCTACCTAATTGCCATGCAGTGATCACCCACTGTCCACACAATAGATGCCTAGTCAGCACTCAGTGGCCACCAAACAAGCATACAATGGCCTCCCATGGCTACCCAAGGGTCACCGGATAGCCACCCAATGGCCACTCAACAGCTACCCAATAGGCAATCAATGGCTACCCAACAGGCACTCAACAGGCATCCAACAGCTACACTGGGCTTTCCAATGACTACCCAGCAGGCAAGCCAAATTCCAACCAATGGCTGTCCCTCAGCTAGCAAATGCCCACTCATTAGCAACCACTCAAAGGCCACTTAGTGGTTACCCAATGGCATCTTAGTTTCCACCCAGTGGACAGCCAACAGCTACCTAATGGCCATCCATCAGCCAGTAAATGAATATCTAACAGGCACTCAATGGCCATTCAATAGGCACTCAATGGTCACACAGCAGCTTCCCTATGGCCACTCACTGGCCACCCATCAGCCAGCTGATGGTCACCCAATGCCAACCTAAAACCAATCATACTAGCACCCAATAGCAAACTTGTGCCACCTATTGTCCAAATGGAGATCTTGGCCCATTAATTCGTGATGGGTCAGCAGTCCTATGCGTACCTTGAGATAGCCCTGCAGTGCCTTGACTTGCTTCTGGGCCTCAGTTGCCGTACGGTTGGCATGACTCAGCTGGATCTCCATCTCATTGAGGTCACCCTCCATCTTCTTCTTCAGCCTCAGGGCTTCATTTCGGCTTCGTGTCTCTGCATCCAGTGAGGTCTGCAGTGAGTCCACCACCCGCAGGTGGTTGCGTTTGGCTTGCTCCGTCTCCTCATCCTTCTCAGCAAGCTTGCGTTCATAGTCAGCCTTCACTTGATTAAACTCTAGCTGGGCCCTCAGGATTTTCCCTTCCTCATGCTCGAGAGATGCCTGCGGAGGACAGGAAAACACTGGTTGCCAAAGAGGACACCAGGAGGACACATGGAGATATATGGGGCAGGTGGTTATAGAGCTTGGCTCACCTCTGCCTCCTCCAGTGCTGCTTGCAGCTCCAGCTTCTCGGCATCCAGTTGCTTCCGGACTTTCTCCAGCTCATGGATGGATTTTTGGCTGGCTCCCAGCTGCTCTGTGAGGTCCGAGATCTCCTCTGCATGGATGAGAATCCATCAGACCATGTAGAAATAGATGGATAACATTGGAGTGGCCAGGTGGATGCCATGGTCTCACCTTGGAGGTTCTTATTCTCCCTCTTGAAGGTCTCCAGGTGCTCCAGTGATTCCTCGTAGGCATTCCTCAGCTTGAAGAGCTCAGTGCTGAGGGACCTAGCCTCCTTCTGTGATGCCTCCAGCTCTGTTTGCGACTCCTCAAACTTCTGCTTCCATTCCAACAAGATCTATGAGGAGACCAGCAGGACATTGCTTATAACCTCTTCCTCCATGGAGAACCTTCTCCTCCTCTGAACCCTTACCATATTCTGGTGCCCTGACCTTGTCAAAGTTCCTCTGCTTCTTGTCCAGAGCAGCAGCTGCTGCATTTGACCTCTCTACATCCGCCATCAAGTCCTCAATCTCATTTTGCAGCCGGTGCTTGGTCTTTTCCAAGGAGGAGCACTTGGCATTGACCGCCTCCACAGCCTCCTCAGCTTCCTGAAGTCGTTGTGCCAGCTTCTTCCTACCAGATGGATGGACATAAACCACGCATGGCCTTTCTGGACTCCTTGAAGAGCCTCTATGTCCATGGAAGATGACTCACTTGGCCTCCTCCAGCTCCTCTGTGCGTTGGATGGCGTCAGTCTCGTACTTGGTCCTCCATTGGGCCACCTCAGAGTTGGCCTTGGAGAGAGCACGCTGGAGCTCCGCCTTGGCCTCCATCTCCTCCTCGTACTGCTCTCGCAGCAGGTCACAGTCATGCTGGGCTGATTGGAGGGCGTGGGCCAACGCGTTCTTGGCCTAGGGTAAGGAGAAGATGAGCTGTGTTAACTGGGGACATCTTGAGATCCTCCAACTCATTAAGTGGTGGTGTTCATCAGCTTAAAGCAGTCAGGTATTCTTTAGACCAACTGAACCCAAACAAACTCAATCCATCCTAACTCAACCTCCTTGACTCCAGCCAACTCAACTGAGCTCCTCAATCCCATTCCTCACTCTTAACATCATGGTGTTTCGCACTCTAAACCTCCAGCCCTACCAACCTCTCCAACAAGGACATACCTTGGCTTCCTCCTCCAGCTGCCTCTTGAGGTCCTCCAGCTGCTGAGTGTAGGTGAGTTTCCCTCGTGTCAGCTGGTTGATGAAAGCTTCCTTCTCCTCCAGCTGCCTTGAGAGCTCGCCTAAGGAGTACAAAGAGGGGTTATCATTGCTGAAGAGACCCCCAGAGCCACCTCACAGACCCTAAGGCCAGCAGCTGGGTGAGAGGTGATTGAGGCACTCACTATTCTCTGTCTGGAGCTTGGCTCGCTGGGTGCTGAGGTCAGTGACAGTGCGCTGAGCCTCCTCCAACTTGCTGCGGTGCTCATTCATCTGGTCCTCCATGGTGCGGCACATCTTCTCCAGGGTGGCCTAGGGGAAGGAAGGGGAGATGCAAGGGAACATGGGAAGAGTGGAAGAAGAGCTAGCCTCATCTTGATCTTTGCAGTTGAGGCCCCAGTCTCCTACCTTGGCCTTGATGAGCTGCTCCGTGTTGGAGCTGACATCATCCAGCTCCAGCTTGAGCTCACTCTTCTCCTTCTCCAGTTTCTGCTTGACACGCTGCAGGTTGTCGAGCTGCTCACTCAGCTCAGCCACACTGTCGGCGTGCTTCTTGCGCAGTGCGGCAGCCGTGGCCTCGTGCTGCAATGTGGCCTCCTCCAGGTCCCTCCGTAGCTTCTGGAATTCAGCTTCCCGCTTCTTGTTAAGCTCAAGCTGCACCGAAGTGGCACCGCCTGCCTCCTCCAGCCGCTCACTGGTCTCCTCCAGTTCCTGCAGCAGCTCTGAGCGCAGCTTCTCCACCTTAGCCCGGCCCGTCCGCTCCGCCTCTAGTTCCTCCTCCAGCTCCTCAATCCGTGCCTGTAGCCCATGGACAGGTAGAACATCGCAGGGCTTCCCTTGGCCCAACACTTCCACTCAGCCAGTTGGAGACTCTTCAACCCAACTCAACCCGTTGCATATTCTTCAAATCCAATCTGATGGAGAGTCTTGAACCCAACCCTACTCAATGGAGATTCTTCAGCCCAATCCACCCAACTGGAGACACCTCTACCCAAACCAATTCAACCCAACCCAACAGAGCTCAACACAACCAAGTGGAGACTCTTCAACTCCACCTCAGCCTGACCTGAAGCTCTTTCAGCTTCTTCTGGAGCTGAGCAGCAATTGCTTGCTCATCCTCAATTCGAGTGTTGAGTGTGTTGAGTTCAAAGTCTTTCCTGGAAGAGAAGAAACACCAATCATAGCCCCAGGTTCTCACAGAAGAGCAGTCTCCAGTGAGGTTCTCACAGAAGAGCAGGATTATGGGTAAGAGACAAGGGGACGGAAGAGGTGGTGGGCAGTTCCCTACTTTTTCAGTCTCTCCTCCAGCTGCTGCTTGTCATTCTCCAGGTCCATAACACTCTCCTGAGCTAGCTTCAAGTCACCTTCCAGCTTCCTCTTGGCTCGCTCCAGGTCCATCCGTATCTTCTTCTCCTGTTCCAGTGAGCTCTCCAGCTGCAAACAGTGGAGAAACCTCCATCAGCTGACAAAAAAACCCACCCTAGAAGGATGTTTTCTGACAGGAGAAACAGGACTCACATCATCCACTTGCTGTTCCAGCTTCACTTTGGCCTTCGCCAAAGTGTTGACCTTGTCTTCCTCAGCCTGCAGGTCATCCAGGGTTTGCTGGTGAGACTCCTGCAGGGTCTTCTTCTCTTTGGTCAGCTTGGTGATGTTCTCATCCAGCCCGGCCATCTCCTCTGTAAGGTTCTTGACCTGCATGGTGAGAAACATCAGGCCTCCATCATCATGCCAAAGGTAGAGCAGAGACAGGAAGAGGTTGTCCTTACTCATGGTCAAGCTGAATCTAAAGTGATACAGGAGAACACAGACAATCGCCCTTGGCTATTCTCAACCCAAACCTACCAACTTACATCTCATCTCAATGCAACTAAACCATCTTTGGGTCAAATCCAACCCAGCCACCCTTGGGTCTTCTCAATCCAATCAAAACCGTCTTGGAGTTTCTCAACCCAACTCAACAACTTTTGGGTCTTCTCAATCCAACCCAGCCACCCTTCAGTCTTCTCAAGCCAATCAAACTACTGTTAGGTCTGCTCAGTGCAACTCAATAACCTCTAGGTTTTCTCAATTCAACACTACTCTCCTTACGTATTCTCAACCCAACCCAACTAATTTTGGGTCATCTCAATCCAACCTAACTGAAATACCCTGGGACTTACCAACCCAACCCAACCCAACCATCCTTGGGTCTTCTCACCCCAACCACTTCACCTTGTTCTCTGTGGCATGTTTCTCCTTCTCCACCTTGGCCAAAGACAGCTCCAGGTCATCAATGTCCTTCTTAAGCTCTGAACACTCATCCTCAAGCTTCCTCTTCTTGGCTGTCAGCTCGGCGTTCATCTCTTCTTCTTCCTCTAGCCTCTCTGTCATCTCCTTCACTTTGGCCTCCAGCTGGATCTTGTTCTTGATCAGCTGATCACAGCGCTCCTCAGCATCAGCGAGATTGTCTTGTTCCTATGAAGGGGACAGATTGGTGGGAGCAGGAGGGAAGGAAGAAGGGAGTCTGTGGGGCTGGGACATCTCCATCACACACGGCCTGCACTTGCAACTGGAGGTCATTCTTCTCCTGCAGCATGGAAACCATCTTCTCCTCCAGTTCCTTCCGACGTGCCTCTGACTTCTCCAAGGCTTCCTTCAGATGCCCAAATTCCTCCTTCATTGTCTGCATCAGGGCACAGGAGACCAGTAGCAATAGCAAATGGTTCCACCACTCATTAACCCCACCCTAACCATGTCCTTGGTGGCCCACACCATGATGGTTTTGTGATGTCCTCTCACCTGCATCTCCTTCTCAGTCTCAGCGCTCTTCAGCAGGGGCTTGATCTTGAAGTAGAGCTTCATCCATGGCCAGTTCTTCACCCCCATGAAGGCCCGGATGTTCCACTGGATTACCAAGAGTGCATCCCTATAATGGGGACACTCAGATGATGCCACCACCCAAGCCCTATATAATGGAGCTGGGTCACATGAGAGCTCCATCCTTGCTAGGAGGAGCTATCCCCATCTCACCGGCGCTCCAGAATCTTCTTGAACTCAATGCGCATGAGCTGGCCCCGGGCTTGAGCTTGGATGCGGGTGATGATGAGGGAGAGGCGCTCATCCCGCATCTCCTCCAACAGCCCCAGCAGCCCAGCCTTGAAGAAGACCTTGGAAGAGGAAGGAGGTGGTTGAGAAGAGGATGGAGCAGGAGACAGGTGGAATGGGTGGGATTGGGTTGGATGGAAGGGCTGGAGATTGAACTGAATGGAAGAGCTGCCTGGAAGGGTTGGTGGGCGGGCTGATGGAAAGAATGTCAGATGAGTTGGATGGAAGTATCAATGGTTGTGTTGGGTTAGATGTGGAAGAGTTGGAGACTGGATTGAAGGGCTGGACATTGGACTGAATGGAAGGGCTGGACATTGGATAGGGCGGAAGGGTTGGATGGAAGAGTTGGATATTGGGTTGGACTGGATGGATAGAAGTGTTGGTTGCCAGGACACACTGATGATTTGATGTATGGATGGACCTCACCTTGGTGTGCCCAAATTTGTACTGGTTATGGTCAATGTCAAGGGATCCCAGGAGCTTCTCAGCGCCCTTGCGGCTGTCAATGAATTGCCCCTCAGGGATGGCTGTGGGGTTCAGGATACGGTACCTAGGTAGGGCAGGAAGAGAGAACCCAAAATGAGCTCAAAGCCCATCCCCATATCCCCAATACCCCTGTCATGCTGTCTCCACCGTTGGCGGAAGTCCCCATAGAGGATGCGGTTGGGGAAACCCTTGCGGCAGATGCGGATGCCCTCTAGCACCCCATTGCAGCGGAGCTGATGCATCACCAGTGGGTTGTCCATCACACCTGTCAGGTAGGGGGTAAAATTGGGTGGGGTCAGCCTTTAGCCATACCCACTGCCACAACCTCTTTAGTCTCCACCCCCTCACCTGGCTCCTTCCTCTCATTAGGGATGAGGCAGCGGACAAAGTGGGGATGGGTTGTCTTGAGGTTGGCCATCAGCTTGTTGAGGTTCTCCTGGAGGAGGTGAGAAGAGGCTGAAACCAATGGGCTAAAGGGGAGGACCAAGAAGACCCTGTGGTGAGGTAGTCTCCCCTCTGCCCCATAGCCTGTCCTCTCCATGGGGCACTCACCCGGTGCAGGGCTGAGACAGTCTGGAAGGAGGAACCTTTCTTCTTGGCTCCTTTCCCCTTTCCACTGTCACCACCTGGGGAAAGGAGAAGGGTAAGGTAAGCAAGGAGAGAACTGCCAGGAGTAGATCTTCCCCATCCGTCATCCAACCATGCCCATCCATCCTCTCACCAGCATCTGCCCCAGCATAGTTGGAGAAGAGACTGGCCAGCAGCTTGAGGGATGACTTCTGGTAGAGCCCCACCACTGTCTCATTGAGGGGATCCTTGTTCTTCTCCAACCAACCGATGATATTGTAGTCCACTGTGCCCGCGTAGTGGATGAGTGAGAAGTGGGCTTCCGCCTTCCCTTTGACATTCCTGGGTTTCCCAAAATTGGCCGATTTGCCCAAGTGGTTGTCAAAGAGTTTGGCCTTGAAGGTCATGTCTGAAGCTTTGGGGAACATGCACTCCTCCTCCAGGATGGACATGATCCCCATGGGCTGCCAAGGAGAGGACCTTGTTGGCCATGGAGTACACCAAGCACCATCCAACTGATCACTTTTTGGGTCCCTGGCAAGCTTCCAATGGAAAAGCACCCCAAAATGCCCTGGAAGAGGAATTACCTTCTCAATTAGATCAATGCAGGCCTGGAGGTCCATGCCAAAATCAATGAACTCCCACTCGATGCCCTCCTTCTTGTACTCTTCCTGCTCCAGCACAAACATGTGGTGGTTGAAGAACTGCTGCAGCTTCTCATTGGTGAAGTTAATACAGAGCTGCTCAAAGCTGTTGAACTGGGGAGAGAAAAGACAGTCAATGTGGTCAATGTAACACCCAATGTGTGACCCAATGGGTCAACATAATGCTGAATGGAGTCAATAGGGTCAACTGAAGATACAGTGGGGTCATCAGAAAACCCAAGGGGGTCAATGAAATGCTCAGTAGGACCAGTGGAGTTAACTACAGACCCGTTATGGTTAACATAACACCCCACAGGAGCAATAGGATGGATTGGAGACCCAGCAAAGTCAACAGGAAGCCCAACAATGTCCGTGTAATGCCCAGTGGGGAGGTCGTCACCACTCAGCGGGGGGTAAACACAGCACCCAGCAGCACCACGTTCCCACCGAAGTTCAATGCGACTCTTAAGGATGTCAATCCTATGCCCAGCTGCATCAGCCCACCACCCAAAAGCAGCCATGGTGCTCTCCCACAGCCTCACATCGAAGATCTCGAAGCCAGCAATATCCAGGACACCAATGAAGTATTGACGAGGCTGTTTGGTCTCCAGTGAGTTGTTGATCCTGACCACCATCCAGTTGAACATTTTCTCATAGACGGCCTTGGCCAGAGCCCCAATAGAGTAGTAGACTTGCTGGACGCTCTGTCCCTTGGTGACATATTCATTGCCCACCTTCACCCGGGGATGGCACAGCCCCTTGAGGAGGTCGGCTGAGTTTAGCCCCATCAGGTAAGCCGACTTGTCGGCATCTTCCCATCAAGGAGAAGAGAACATGAGTCAGGCCCCACCTCCTCCACATCTTGGAGGGAGCTGGGGGACCCCAAACTATGTGATCCCACGAACCTTCGGTGCCATCTGGCTCCGCCTGCTCCTCCCGTTGCTTCTGCTTGAACTTCATATTGCCGAAGTGCATGATGGCACCCGTCAGCTTGTAAACACCAGCCTTCTCCTCAGCAGTGAAGCCCAGGACATCGAAAGCACTCTGTAAGGTGAACAGAGGGAGTCAGAGAGGGCCTGATATCCCCCCAGCACTGTGCTGAGGGCACAGACATCATGTGGCTGTGTGTCTGTCTGTCCCAGTCTTCTTATTTGTTAGACAGTCTCATCTACCCATGACCTATTTAACCTTCTAAAATGTCATTCATCCATCTGAAGACTCATCCATCTACCGTAGACTCATCCATCCATGCACTCATCCATTCAAAGATCCAACCATCCATCTAAAGAATCGTTCATCCATTTCAGGGCCCAACAACACATAGTTTCCTTAATCTCATGATCCAGTCATTCATCCATTGATTCATCCACCCACGGTCTCCTCTGTCTGAGGACTCCTCCATCTGCTTACATCGGTTGCCAACAGCTCTTCCGAGTCATCAATGGAGGCCACAGTCACCTCTCCTTGGGATACGTAACTGTAGTCATAAGGGTTGTTGGTGATAAGTAGCATCTCTGCTCAGTGGTGGGGCAGGAAAGAGGGAAAAAGACACAAAATAACCCATGCGGTCCTCAATTGCCTCAAAAAATGAGTAGAAAAAGAGAGGATGGAAGAAGACCCAACTCACCCAGAAGCTCAGGCTTCTTGTTGGAGAGGATCTGGTAGAAGATGTGGTAGTTCCGCTCAGCCTTCAGCTGGAAGATGACTCGGGACTTCTCCAGGAGGTCTGGGGAGGATGGGGAAAAGGTTTTGAGGTGGATGGGATGAGAAGATGGATAAGACTGATGGAGGGTTGGCATGACGGCTCAAAGATGCATCCCCAAAGCCACTCACAAGTCTCGATATCGGCTGATGCCAACTTCCCAGTAGCCCCAAAGTGGATTCGGATGAACTTCCCCTATGAGAACAGCAGCATGAGATTTCTCCGCCCCATAGATTCCCAACTCTGTGCCATAGATCCCACCCAACATCCTCCTCACTCACAAATCGAGAAGAGTTGTCATTGCGGACAGTCTTGGCATTGCCGAAGGCCTCCAAGGCAGGGTTGGCCTGGATGATTTGATCCTCCAGGGTCCCCTGGTGGTGAGTGGAGATCAGTGGAAGGGAACAAGCAGCTCCACAAGTGTGGCATGCTAAGACAGTATGGCCAGAGGACCCACCTTGCTGCTATTTGCTACCTCCTTTTTGCGGTCACCAATGGCAGCAATGCTGGCAAAGTACTGGATGACCCTCTTTGTGTTAACAGTCTTCCCCGCTCCGGATTCTCCACTGAAGCCATGGGGCAGTGGTGAGATGTGTGGGGCACTATAGTGCAGCGCTGCCCTCCCACCCCTCCAGCACCATGGGGCTGGGACTTACGTGATGAGGATGGACTGGTTCTCACGATCTGCACAGAGAAGACACAAGAGACAGTAGACCCACTAACATGAAGACCAGGCTTTAGCTATGGGTCCATTTTTTGGTGATGAAATTTGCTAGTTTGAGGTCCCAACCTGTCAGCATGTTCTGGTATGCATTATCTGAGATGGAGAAGATATGGGGTGGGACTTCAGTCCGCTTCTTGCCCCGGTAGGCAGCCACCACCTCAGCATTGTAGACTGGAAGCCACTTGTATGGGTTGACGGTGACACAAAAGAGCCCCGAATAGGTCTGGAGAAGGGGACATGGGACAGGATCATGAAATGTCATCACACTAGAAGGGGTTCTTGGTGACTCTATGGGTCTGGAGAGGGGATGTCACAGTTCTAGGTAGCCCACACAGTCTGTAAAATAGGTTGTCCCAGTTTTAGGTGGCCCAAGGGATCTTGAGATTTTGCTTCTAGATGTACCAAAGGGTCTCAAGATGGAACACTTCACTTCTAGGATGCCCAAGTGATTTTGAGATGGGAAGTCCCACTTCTATGTGGCCCAAAAGGTCTGGTAATCTCAGTTCTAGATGTTCCAAGGGGAAAGAGGATGTGACATTCCAGTTCCGGTCAACAGAACAGGCCTGTAAACTTTGTTTGTGGGTGTCCCAAAGGGTCTAGACGCAGGACATCCCAATTCTAGATGGCCTTGTGTTCTTGACATCTTAGTTCTAGCTAATCCAAGGACTCTGCAAATGGGATGTCCCAATTCTAGATGACACAAAGGGTCTTGAAATTTCCACTTAGTTGCTAGAAGGGGAATAAAGACGGGATATGTCTGTTCTAGGTGGCTTAATGGGATCCGGAAATCACAGTTCTATGTATCTAAAGAGGTCTTCAAATGGGACATTCAAGGGACTGGAGCACCTCCTCTACAAAGACAGGCTGAGGGAGCTGGGCTGGTTCAGCCTGGAGAAAAGAAGGCTGCGGGGTGACCTCATTGCAGCCTTTCAGTACCTAAAGGGAGCCTACAAACAGGAGGGGAGTCAACTCTTTGAAAGGGTAGATAACAGCAGGACAAGGGGAAATGGTCTGAAATTGAGGGAGGGAAGATTGAGGTTGGATGTCAGGAGGAAGTTCTTTACGGAGTGAGTTAAGAGGTGCTGGAACAGCTGCCCAGAGAGGCTGTGATGCCCCATCCATCCCTGGAGGTGTTCAAGGCCAGGTTGGATGGGACCCTGGGCAGCCTGGGCTGGTATTAAATGAGGAGGTTGGTGACCCTACATGTGACAGGGGGTTGGAAATTCGTGATTCTTGAGGTCCCTTCCAGCCCTGGCCATTCTGTGATTCTGTGACATCCCAATTCTACAGTGGTCTTAAGATGTTGGTTCTAGGTATCCCATGTAGTCTGTAAATGGGTTGTCCCAGTACTAGGTGGCTCAATGGGATCTGGAAATCACAGTTTGATGTGACCCAATGGGACTGGTTCTAGGTGGTCCAAAGTGTTTGAGATGGGATGTGCCTATTCTAGGTGGCCCAATGGGACTGGAGATGGGACATCCCAGTTCTAGGTGACCAAAGAACTCTGGAGGAAAACCACAACATATTGGGTGCCTCAAGTCCCATGGGCACAAGGTGACCACCCAGATCTTTATGAAGAAACCACAATGCTCCTGCATCTTTTAGGCTGTGGGGCCACCTTATAGATTTGGGGCTGCTCTATAGGCTATGGGGTCACCCCCTTAGCTGTGGGCCCACCACAGGGGCTGCTGGAAAGGCTCACATATATCATCCAGGAAGCATAGCGCTCCTTGAGATTGTAGAGAACGGCGGGCTCATGAAGGAACGTCAGCATGGCCATGTCCTCAATGCGGTCAAATTTTGGGGGGTTTTGGGGGTGCACGTCGGCCTCAGGCACTGTCAGGGTCTGCAGAGAGATCCCAAGAATCCCCCAAATGCAACTTCTTCAAGTCAAAATCCCAAGTTCAACTTTTCCACCCCAGATCTCACCAAACTCCCCCTTTTCAGCACCAAATCCCCTCAAATTCAGCTTTGTCACACTAAGGTATCCCCCCAAATCACATTTTTTTATTCACTCCACTACATCATATTTGCCATTTTAAGTGTCCCCTAAGATAGTTTTTTTCACCCCAAGCCCCACCAAATCCTTTTTTTTTTTTTTTGCCCCAAATCTCAACATTATCTCTCTAAACCTCAAATCTCCCAAATCAATCCTTTCCACCCCAAATCCACCAATAAGGCTTTCTTTTCCAAATTGTCCAAGCTGAACTTTTACTCAAATCTCTCCTTTTCATCCCGAACGCCCACAGTAACCCTTTCTCTCCCACCACTCTCTATTGACCCCACGCCTCCGGCCCCGCTGCATTTACCCCATTTACTACCATTGATCCTCACCGACCCCACCCCACTGAATCCCACTGACCCTCACTGGCTCGCCTCCATTGACCCCACCCCACTGACTTCCACTGACCACAGTGAATCAACCCGCGCTGCTCCCATCGACCAGCTCCACTGATCCCCACGACCGCACCTCACGAACCCCCACCCCCACCATCCCCTCTCTCACCTCCCCCATCTCCGTGGTGACGGTGACCCCATTCCCTGCCCGGGCGGTGATGCGGCCACGGACGAACTCAAGCTGGGGGTGGGGCACGAAGCAGAGCCCTCGAGTGTCAGCTGGTGGGGTTGGACGGGACCCCTCGGGGGCACGCAGGAAGGGGGCAGCCACACCCAGCGCTGCCTCCATCTGTGGGTATGGTGAAAGTGATGTCATCACAGTGACAGCATCCCGGTGACATTGTCACGGGGTACAGTGACCCACAGGGATACATGGGCTCCATAGAAATGCATGGGCCCCATAGAGATAAGGGGTGCCTCGCAGACATGCATGAGCCCCCCACACGCAGACTGTCGCATAGATATCTGAGACCCATAGAAATGAGCTGTGACCCATAGACATGTGTGAGCCCAACAGAAATGCAGGGACCCCACAGCAATCCACAGTGCCCCATAGCAATGTATTAGCCCCATAGACATGCATAGTGCCCCACAGAAACATAGGGTCCCCGTAGACATCCATGAGACCCATAGCAATGGGCAGGGCCTCATTGACACACAGGGTCACATTGAAAGAGCAGCACCCCATAGCAATGTATGAGCTCCATAGCAATGCACAGTGCCCCATAGCAAAGTGATGCTCCCCCCTCCCCCCAGCCTCTCCCCTCTGCCCCATAGCATTCATGCCACCCCATAGAGCCTTGTCCTGCACCAAAGCGCTCCCCTGCCTCATACCGTTCCCATGCCCCATAGTGGCCCCTTGCCCTATTGTGTCCCCCAGCCCCACATCAGCCCTGTACCTTCAGTCTCTGGCTCTGACACAGGAAACAGGAACAGATCTGTAGTGCTGGGGGAGAAAGACTGTTACCCACAGCTCCTCCCTGCACCCCATAGATCCCCACATTCCCCTGCCCCATAGATTTCCACATCCTGCCACATCCCCCTGCCCCATAGGTCCCCATATCCCCTTGTCCGGTGGATTCCCACATCCTCCCATATTCCACTACTCATAGGTCTCCACACACCTCATAGCCCATAACCGCATATCCCTCACATCCATGGCTCATAGAGCTCCACATCCTCCACATCCCTATGGGGCACCTCATAGCCCCCTTTGTGACCCACAGCTCCCCATATCCCCACATCCCACATATCTCCCTGCTGCCCCATAGATCACAAAGTGCTCCCCATCTCTCCCCATCTCCCCACCTCTGCCTGCCCCACGCCAAGCCTGCTGCTGCCCCACGGCTTTTATGAGCTTTCCCCCGCCCCACCCCGCCTACTTCTGTCTCCCCTAAAAAATTCCTGGAAGAGGGGGAGGGGAGGGGGGAGGGGGGAAGGAGGAGGAGGGGGGATGTGGGAGGGAGGGGGGGATAGGTGGGGAGGGTGGGGAGGGGACAGTTAGGGGGGGATGGGGGGGGGGGGGGGGGGGGGGGGGGGGGGGGGAAGGGGTGATGGGGGGGGAACCTGCCCCATTGCGCCCGACAGAGCCCATAAGGAATCCAGGCACCACGCTCCGTCCCAAAGAACACACTCTTCCCAATAGTTCCCATTCTATCCCACAGAACTCCCTCTGCCCCACAACTCTCCTTCTCTCACATAGAACTGCCTCTGCCCCACAGATCCCATCCTTCCCCACAGAACCCCCTCTGCTCCACAGCTCCCACTGTGCCCCGTCAATCCCATCCTGCCCTATATTCCCATGCTGTGCCCCACAGCTGTACTTTATAAGCCCTGCCCCATAAGCTTCTGCTCTACCTATAAGCCCTGCTCCACAAAACCTTATCTGCCCCATAGGCTCTGCCCCACTATGCTCCCCCTGTGCCCAAAACCTAGACCCACAGGCCCTGCCCCATAGAACCTACTGCAAGCCCTACAAGTGACACAGGGAGCAAGCTCTGCCCAACAGGCTCTGCCTCTTAGCTCTCACTCTGGGTGTGTATGGGACCCATGGGGCTCTATGGGGAGCAGTGGAGTTCTAAGGGTCCCTGTGGATCTCTGGAACACACCATGTCTGCCACCTTGCATTGCTGACAGGGGGGCAGGGATGGGGCTATTTCTGGCCTCCTTATCGCCCAGCCCCACCTCCGCCTCTTTGTCTCCTCTTTGTCCTTGGCAAGTGCCAAATTCCTGGGGGTGGGGCCACGTTGGTGGCCAGTGGGGGGTGGGGACCCACAAGACCCATAGAGAACCAAAGAGACCCCATAGAGACACATAGGGACCAACAGGGGACCAACAGGGACACAGAGAAGCCTATAGGGATGCATAATGCCCTGTAGCACCCTGTAGCGCTGCACAGCCAGCTGAGGTTCACATGAGGCTGCCCAAAAGGCACGGCAGGACAGCCCGGAGGTCAACGACTGCTCCTGACCACATTCAATCTCCTGCGGCTCCCACCACAACCCCACTGCGCCGTGGGGCAGCATCACACCAAGCCTTGCCCCATACCAAGCCCTTCCCCACACCATGCTTTACCTCACACAAACAGCTGCTGCTGCTTGAAGGTATTTACTGATTGAAAGCGGGGGACTCTGGGGGTACAAAAGGTACTGGATGGAGGTCAGGGCTCGGGCCATGTCGGCACGTTCCTCTGCCTCATCCAGCTCGTGCTGCGCCTTGCGGAACTTGGCCATCCACCATTATCCATCCACTGGCCCAAAAATCCATCCAGCCGCCCATCCATCCACCCAGGCTTTTCCTATCTACCCAGCAATCCTTCATCTACTCTTTCCCACCCATCCATCTTCTTTCTCCCTCAGTCCCATCATCCTTGCAGCCATCTCAGCATCATTCTGTCCATTCACGCTTCCCCATTCTGTGTCCCAACCCAGCCATCCATCTCTACTCTTCCATTTATCCATCTTCTCAACCATCCCTTTCTCCAATTTTCCCACCTATATCTTCATCCGATATCTCCATCCATCAATCAATTTCTTAAATTTCTCTGATTTCTACAATTCTCCACCCAATTCTCCACCCATCCATCATTTTTTTCTAGTTTTTCCAATTTCTCCCCCCTTTTCTCCATTTTCTCCATTCTCTTCAGTTTATCCCTTCACATCACTTCCTATCACCTCCTTACCCCAAAGTTTGGCCTTGAAGATCATGTCTGAAGCCTGGGGAACATGCACTCCTCCTCCAGGATGGACATGATCCCCACGGGCTGCTGAGAGGAAAACCTTGCTGCCCACAGAGGACACCAAGCATCACCCAAGTGACCGCTTTTAAGGTTCCTGGCAAGCTCCAAGTAGAAAAGCACCCCAAAATGCCCTGGGAGAGGCAGTACCTTCTCGATGAGACCAATGCAGGCCTGCAGGGCCATGCCAAAATCAATGAACTCCCACTCGATGCCCTCCTTCTTGTACTCTTCCTGCTCCAGCACAAACATGTGGTGGTTGAAGAACTGCTGCAGCTTCTCATTGGTGGAGATGATGCAGAGCTGCTCAAAGCTGTTGAACTGGGGAGAGAAGGGCCAGACAGTGAAGTTGACTTGATGCCCAGTGGGGTCACTGGGGTCAACTGACATCCATTAATATCAGTAGGGTCGTCTGAACACCCAAGGGGATCACCAGAACACCCAGTGGGATCAATGGCATCAACTCAACCCTCAGAGTGCTCTGCACAGTGCTTAGTGGAATCCATAGTTAACATGAGACCCAACGAACATAACACAACGCCCAGTGGGGCTAATAGAGTCTACTGGAGATACAGTAGGTTCAATGTGATATCCCTTGGGAGCAGTGAGGTCAACCTGAGACCCAATGGGGCCGAGTGCTCAGTGGGATCAACAAAGTCAGCTGAATACCCTGTGGTGCCAACATAACATCCAACAGGTTCAACCTAGTCAACTCAACGCCTACTGTAGGGTCACAGAATCACAGAATGGCCTGGGTTGGAAGGGACCTCAAGGATCATGAATCTCCAGGCCCCTCCGCCACAGGCAGAGCCACCAGCCTCTTCATTTAATACCAGACCAAGCTGCCCAGGGCCCCAGCCAACCTGGCCTTGAACACTCCAGGGATGGGGTTTCCAAAGCCAATCTGGGCAGCTCACCACTCTCATAGTGAAGAACTCATGGTCAACTCATGGTCCCCAGTCTCTCCCAAATTGCTCAGCCCCATAGCAGCTTCCCAGGGCCTCACACTGAAGATCTCAAGGGAGAAAAGTCCAGGACACCAGTGAAGTATTGATGAGGCTGTTTGGTCTCCAGTGAGCTGTTGATCCTAACCACCATCCAGTTGAACATCTTCTCAGAGACGGCCTTGGCCAGAGCCCCAGTGGAGTAGATCACCTGGAGGAGGGACCATGGTGACACAGGACTCATGGTGTCCTCAAAAAGAGGGTGGATAGAAGGACATTGTCTTTACCTGCTGGACACTCTGCTCCTTGGAGACATACTTGTTGCCCACTCTCACTCAGGGGTGGCATGGTTGGCTGAGTTCAGAGCCATTAGGTAGGCTGACTTGTCCACCTCTGAGAACACAGGGGACAGGAGATGAAGATAGGAAGCCATGGGGCTCACTCTATTTCCTTCACCACCCGACTGACCTCACCTTCAGTGCCATCTGGCTCTGTTTGTTCCTCCCACTGTTTCTCCTTGAATTTCACGTTGCCGAAGAGCAGCATGGTGCCCATCAGCTTGCAGATGGAGTTCTCCTCTGGGGTAAAGTCTGACACACTGAAAGCACTCTATAGAGAGAAATGGGGAAAATCTGGGATGGGATCTTCTGCTGGCAGTTCCCCACACTGTCTGTAGTCCTCCAACTCATGTCTGTGGCGAACAGCTCTTTGCCATCATCAATGGATGCCACCATGGTCTCTCCTTGAGAGACAAAGACAGTCACAGGGTTGTTGGTCACCAGCATCGTGTCTGCAAGGAGACAAGGGAGTTGAGAAAGCCAAAATCATTTTGGGGATGCTTGTCCACCAGTAGGATGAGAGAGAATCTCACCCAAAAGCTCAGGCTTCTTGTTGGAGAGGATCTGGTAGAAGATGTGGTGGATCCTTTCAGCCTTCAAATGAACTCAGCACTGTTGAGGCCTCACCTCGAGTGCTGTGTTCAGCTTTGGGCACCTCAGTACAGAAAAGACATGGAGGTGCTGCAGCAGGCCAAAGAAGGACAGCAAGGCTGGAGAAGGGCTTGGAGAATATGGCCTACGAGGAGCAACTGAGGGAACTGGGGCTGTTTGGTCTGAGGAAAAGGAGGCTGAGGGGAGACCTGACTGCTCTCTTCCAGTATCTGAAAGGTGCTTACAGCAGAGTGGGGTTGGTCTCTTCTCACTGATGACAGGACGAGAGGAAATGGTCTCAAGTTGCACCACGGTAAGTTTAGGTTGGATGTCAGGAAACACTTCTTTACAGAAAGGGCTGGACGGATAGCCAGGTGGTGGCCAGAACCTGAGATGTCCCCTTGGTGTTCTCACCTTGCCATGTCTTTGTGTCCCTCGTTCCACGGTTGCTGATGGCAGTGACGATGGCAAGATACCCTCTTGATGTTGACCATCTTCCCCACCTGGATAGGGATGGTGTCATGGACTGAGGGTGGGGTTAAACCTACAAGCATGAGGTTGGACTCACACGGTAAGGATGGATGGGTTCTCCTGATCTGGTGAGACAAGAAGGCCCCAAAGCTCTGCCACAAACCAAGCTCCAAAGAAGGGATGGGGACAAAGTTATGGGGCTGAGGATGTCCCAGAGGAAGTCCCTACCCATTAGTGCATTCTGGTAGGTGCTATACAAGATGGAGAAGATGTGAGAAGGAGCTTTGCTCTGCTTCTTGCCCCATTAGGCAGCCACCACCTCAGCACTGTAGAGAAGAAGCCACTTGTATGGCTTGATGGTAATGCAGAATGGCCCCAAGTAGGTCTGGAGAAGGGGATGTGGGTCAGGGACATCAGGTAGTATCCTTGATTCTAGGCAGCCCAAAGGGTTTTCAGATGGGATGTGCCTATTCGAGGTGGCCCAGTGGGACCTCCCAGTTCTAGGTGACCAAAGAACTCTGGAGGAAAACCACCACATTCTATGCGCCTCAAACCCTACGGGCACAAGGTGACCACCCAGATCTTCATGGAGAAGTCACCAAATTCCTTCTACCCTACAGGTGGTGAGGTCACTGTACAGATGTTGGAGCAGCCCTGTAGGCTGTGGGGTCACCCCAGAGGCTACTTGGAAGACGCATGCAAATCATCCAGGAGTCAAAGCACTCCTTGGGGTTGTAGAGGACAATAGCCTCATGGAGGAGTGTCACCATGGCCATGTCCTCGATGAAGTCGGATTTCAGGGGGTTCTGCTGCATGATTTGGTCCTCTCTGACTGTCACCATCTGCTTAGGGAAGAAGCCATAATGTGCATATAGGGCCGCTACAGGGCCAGAAAATGTCCTGGGGATTTCAGAGAAGGTATTTGGGGTTCTAGGTGCCCCAAAGGTGATGGAAGTTTTATGATGAAGAGGTATTATAGGTGTCCTACAGGATTTTGGAGAGTATGGTTTGGATTCTAGTTGGCTCTTGGGTGATGGAGAAGATATTTTGGGTTCCAGATGTCCCATGGGTGATGGAAGAGGTATTTGGGTTCTCAGTGTCAGTTGGTGGTATAGAAGGTGTTTTGGGATCTGGGTGTCCTATAGAGCCAGGGTGTCCTTTGTGATTTCAGATAAGATATTTTGGGTTCTAGGTGTCCAATTGGATTTTGGAGAAGAAGGTTTGGGGGCCAGATGTCCTATGGGTGATGGAGGAGGTGTCTGGGGTCTTGGAGTCCCATGGGTGATGAAGGAGACATTTTGGGCTGCCTTTGGGCCTTTAGGGGTACCAATAGGCATTTGAGAGTGATTTGTGCAGCCATTTTTTGATGAGTGGACACCATTTTGGGATGATTCCACCCACTGTTTGGGGCCTATCTGCATCATTTTGGGGGTGATTTGGACCATCTTGGGGGTAATTCAGCCTGCCATTTTGAGGATGATCTGGGCCATTTGGATATGAGTCTAGCTGCCATTTTTCTGTGGCAATGCAGGCCATTTGGGGAGTAATTTGGGCAATTCTGAGGGCAATACGGACCACCTTTTTGGGGTGACTCCGGACACCATCTTGGGATGATTCCAGATGCCATTTTGGGGGTAATTTGGACCATTTCAGGACTAATTTTCACAATTTTTGGCAGCCCACCTTGCCCACGCTCGGTCTGCATGGTGACGTTGGTGCCATTACAGGACACAACAGTGGCCCTGATGAACTCCTCATGCTTGTCAGGGATGGAGATGTCGTGCTCGAGGTTGAAGGGCCATGTCTGCGCTGCCAAGTGCTCCTGCTCTGACACCACAGGCATTGTGTGGCCTCCAAGAACTTGGCCAGCTCGGAGGGTAGGGCTGGTATGGTGGCCTGTACACCTGTACGCCAGCCTGCACACCAGTAAGGCATCAGTCACACCAGTAAGTCACAAATAAGAAACCAGTCCAACTAACACCAGTGAGGCACCATCAGGACACCATTAAGTCAGTACTAAACCAGCAAGGCACCAGTAACACAAACACTACTAAGGCTCTAGTAGGACACCATTAAGCCCAACAGAACACCACTAAGACTAGAAGGACACCACTGTGACACCACTGAGATCAGCAGAACACCAGTAAGGCACCACTAAGACACTATTAAAACTGTAAGGCATCAGCGACTCCTGTAAGGCACCAGTGGGACACCATTCACACCAGTGGTACACCATTAAGGTACCAGAAGGACAACAGTAAGATACCAGTACTACTACTGCCAGTAAGATTAGCAACACTAACATCAGCAAGGCACCTGTAAGACGTGTAAGGAACCAGTAAAGCACCGCAATGTTATCAAGACCAGTAAGACACGAGCTGGACACTAGTTGGACACCAATGCTTCCAGTCCCTCCTTCACCTTTTTGTCCTCATTCAGTGAATCCAGGTCCAGAAAAACAGCATGAACTCATCAGTGCATCCCAGTATATTCCAGTCCCAACCCAGTTCACCTACGGACCCTCCCAATCCCTTCCCAGTTTCCCCCCCATACCCACTCCTAGTTCCCTCCCATCCCCCTCCCGATTCCTCCATATCCCCCCATATCTCCTCCTACTATCCCCCTACAGAACCCCCAGTGCTCCCAGTTCCATCCCAGTCCTTCCCAGTTTCCTCATATCCCCTCCCAGTCCCAACCAGTCCCTCCCATTCTCCCTATCGACCCTCCCACTCCCTCTCAGTTTCCCCATATCCCCTCCCAGTTTCTCCCATTCCTTTCCAGTTCCCCTACAGACAAACTCAGTCCCCTTCCAGTGCTCCTCATTCCCAACTCCCACCTGCCCAGGCTCAGTTGCTTCTGATTATGGGGACTTCTTTTATCTCCCCCCCTTCCCCAAAAAGTTATACATCATCTAGGAGGCGTGGCCAGACAGCATCTGACATCCACCTCCTCCCTCAGACCCCCCCCTGCCACATAGGCATCCATAGGACCACAGCCCTATAGGACCACATAGGGATCTCCCTGCCTCCTAGGGACCCTCTGCCCTACAGAAATTCCATAGAACTCCCTCGACCTCATATGAGCCCCGCATCCCAATACAATCCCTCAGTTCCCCCGACCACATAGCTCCCCATAGGATCCTACCGGATCCTATAAGACCTCCCCAGCACCACCACAGCCCCATACCCAGCCCCACAGAGCCCTGTAGGACCTTATAGAGCCCACGGGATCCCTTAGGGGCTCCTCAAGTTCCATAGCGCCCCAGAGGAGCCATGGGTTCCTATAGGATTCCACACTACCCCCCCCTTCCCCCTCCCGCCCCATAGGACCCTATAAGACCCTATGGAATGCCACAGAACTCTGTGGGATCTACAGCCCCTCGAGTCCACGGGACCCACAGGGACAAGGACAAAGTCCACACACGGCCCCCCGCCCACTCCCTCCGGCTATTATGGGATGGATGACGGCAGGCGAAAGGATCGCGGACGGACAAAGGGCAGGTGGAGGTGGGGCAGGCTGCCTTCGTCCCTGTCCTTGTCCCTATTTTTAGGACTCCTCCCCCAAGCCGAGCAGCTGCTGCCCTTATACGGCCACATGGGACACCCTGGCGCCCCTCCGGCTGCTGCTTTTCTCCCGAAGTTTCTGCACCTTCCCCTGCGTTTCCCCAGGTTTTCCTTCATTTCCCACTAACTTACTGCATTTGTCCTTATTTCCCTGGTTCTTCCCCAAATTTCCTTCCAGTTTCACTCGTTTTTCCCCTTTTTCCCCTAATTTCCTTGTTTTCCCTCTTTCTCCTTAATTTCCCCGATATTTTTATTTTATTTTCAACCAATTTACCCACTCTTCCCTTATCTCCCCCAAGGTTCTCCTAATATTACCATTATTTCCCCTGCTTTTCCCAATTCCACCTGGCTTTGCTCTTAGTTGCTCTTATTTCCCCTTGAATTTCACCCACTTCCCCTCCAAATTTCCTTTTTTTACTTCATTTTCCATTTTCCCCCAATATTCTCCTAATTTACAAAGAAAAAAACTATATTCTCCCAAACTTCCCCTCATTACCTTATTTCCCCCATTTTTCCCAAATTTTACTCATTTTACCTCAAATTTCAATATTTTTCCCTTATTTTCTCCCATTTTTCCCAAATTTCTCACTTTTCCCAGGTTATTATTCTAACTACCACCTCATTTTACCCCAATTTTCCCAAACATGCCAAATTTTTCATATTTTTCCTCCAAGTTTCTTCTACTTGTTCCTTATTTTCCCTAACTTCCCCCTAAGTTTCCATATCTTTCTCCTGAATTTCCCCAATTTTCATCTAGTCTTTCCCTTCAATCCCACTGCTTTTCAGTCCTGGGCCTATTTTGGGGGAAAAATATGTTAAATTACTACATTTTATTTATTTTGAGCAAATTAGGACCCCGCAAACCCACACTTGAGAAGAAAACTGGGAGGAAACCAAACAAATTATATAATTATGTATCATTATTTTTATCATTATCGTGATAAGAAATGGTGTAAGATGAGGAAAACCCACAAGAAGCTTGTAAATTATTTTTTATGGAAAATGACAGAATTGGTGAAACCCCAAAATGGCTACAAAATAAAGCCACAGTTTATCTCTGGTAGAGATAAAAGAATCAAGTAAAAAGGAAAGGGGATGACTGCAAACACAAAGCCAGCTGCAGAGCCCACCTCACCAAGCCTGATCTAACACACAAGGAAGATACAATCAGCAAATCTTAAAGCCTCTCTGTGCCTGGCAAGACCGCGGAGGAGACCTTAAGGCAGAGGGGAGACGAGGTGACCGCAGGCAGCTGGCACAGCCTCAGCAAGGGCAGAGCACGGCTGGCCCTCCTGGTGGCCTTCAGTGATGGAGTAATGGCCTTGGTGGGCAAAGGGAGGGCGGCCGATGTCACCTACCTGGACTTGTGCAAAGCCTTTGGCGTGGTGTCCTTGGAGGTGTTCAAGGCCAGGTTGATGGGGCCCTGGGCAGCCTGGCTTAGCATTAAACGTGGAGGTTGGTGGCCCTGCATGTGGCAGGGGGGTTGGAGATTCATGATCCTTGAGGTCCTTTCCAACCCTGGCCATTCTGTGATTCTGTGGTGCCCCACCACATCCTTATCTCCAAGTTGGAGAGATCCGGGTCTGAGGGGCGGGATGTTTGGTGGGTAAGGAATTGGTTGGAAGGTCACAGCTGGAGGGCTGTGGTCAATGACTGCGCCAGGTGGAGGCAGGGATGAGTGCTGTCCCACAGGCTGCTCTGTGGGACCCGTACTCTTATCAGGGATGTGGATGATGGGATTCAGTGCACCCTCAGATACCGAGCCGAGCGGTGCAGCGGATGCAGCAGAAGGAAGGGACGGCATCCAGATGGACATAGACAGCAGGCCATGGGAACCACCTGAGGCTCAACAATTTTCAACAATCAATCAGACGTGAGGGGAAATTCTTCACTCAGAGGGCAGTGAGGCGCTGCGCTGCTGCCCAGAGCCGTGGGTGCCCCATCCCTGGAGGTGCCCAAGGCCATGATGGGCAGCCCGAGCTGGGGAGGAAACCAGCACGCAGCAGGAGTGGGGCTGTGACATTATTTCCAACCTGAGCCATTCTGTGATTTTATGACATACAGGACATGGGGCACACGGGTATCAGGGATACAGAGGACAATGGGGACATGGGCACACCTGGGGCAAGAGGGAGGCGGGGACTATGAAGGGGCCAGAGAAGTGGGATCTGGAGTTAAGGGGATGGAGGGGCTACAGGGAGGAATGGGAAGAGGAACTGGTCACGGGGTGTGATGAGCTGCAATGGGGGTCACAGGACTTCTTAGGTGTCATGGGGTGGGGTGGTCATGGGGTCAAAGAGGGGGATGTAGGGTGGTTATGGGGTGGAAGGGGTCACAAGGACATAAAGAGGGATCCATATGGGGAGTTGTACAGCAGTGTTACATGGGAGCATTCCCCCATTTTAAGACCCTGTCATTCCCACCTTCTTTTGCTCCCCAATTCTGTCCCCAACATCCTGCTCTCCTTCTGTAGACCCTTCCTCCATTTTACCCAATTAGGCTCTCCTTTAACCTCTCCATTTTTGCCCCTACCCCTGCCTGCCTCTCATTTTGGCCTTCCGCTAACTCTTTCCCCTCCCACTTAAACCATATCCCCGCACCTTTTTGTCCGCTCTCGTTACAGAACTGTAGGGGTTGGAAAAGACCTCTAGAGATCACTGAGTCCAATTTAAATTCCACTTCAGGCTGCCCGCTGCCGCGGCAACACTGCCGGAAAGCAGCGCCGTTAACGACAACGCCGCCGGAAAGCGATGCCGTCTCCATGGCAACGCGGCTGGCAGCGCTCTTCCTGATTGGCTGACCCGAGAACCGCCTCCCCTCCTTCCCCCGGCGGCGCCACGGGGCATGCCGGGAAGCGCGGTCCTTTCGCGCGCTGCCGGGGAGCGGTGCGGTTCTATGGCGGAGCCGGCGGTGAGCGGGGAGGCCGTTCGGGGTGTTGTGGGGCGGGATGGGGGCGCCGGAGGCTGTAGGTCTGTAAGTTCCGCGGGGCTCTACGGGGTGGGGCCGCAGGCGGGTGCGGGCGGGCACGGGGCGGTCCGTGGGGTCGCGGAGCTGTAGAGGCGGAAGCGGTACGGGAGCTGCTGGGGTCCTGGGAGCTGTATGGGGGCTGCGGGGTCCCGTAGGTGATCCCGTAAGCTGTGCGGGTCCAGCAGGCAGTGCCGAGAGCTGCGGGCTGCTCGGCGGGCGCTCTGGGAGCACGGTAAGCGATCCTCCGGGTGAGCGTCTGGGTTGCGCTGTGGGGTGCTGGGAAGCGTAGGTGTGCTTTGAGGTCCTGGGAGCGACGGAGTGGGAACAAGGGCCCTGCGTGCGAGGTGCAGAGATGGAGGGGTGCTGCGGCAGCGGTGCGAGCGCTGCTGGGAGCCGCGGGCGTGGCTGTGGCAGTGCTGCAGGGGGCCGGCGAGGCACGGAGAGAGCGCGGGGTTCAGCAGGCGGTCCTGGGAGCCGCAGGGGCGCGGTGGGGTTGTGCGGGTGCTCATGGGATGCCTGGGGGGTTATGGGTGCTGCAGAGGTTCTATAGGAGGACCGTGTCCGACCCGGCTTCCCCCGTGCAGCCTCCCGGAGGGCCGCAGCCCCGCGCCCGGCGCCTGGCGGCGCTGCTGAACCGCAGCCTGCGGGTGCGCATGTCGGACGGGCGCACGCTGGTGGGAGCCTTCCTCTGCACCGACCGCGACGCCAACATCATCCTCGGCTCCGCGCAGGAGTTCCTCAAGGCTGCTGGTACGGGGCCACGGCGGGAAATGGGGCCGCAGGGGCAGTGGGGACTCGGGGTCGGATGGGGGTGAGGGGAGCGATGAAGTGGAGGCAGCGATGGGGAGGGCGGTTGGGGTACCGGGGGTGATGGGAGCGGGACCACGGGGAATGGTGGGGATGGGGACGTGGCGGTGAGGCTGACACGGTGCTGCTGTCCCCTGCAGATGCGTTCCCGGGCAGCGAGCCGCGTGTGCTGGGCCTGGCCATGGTGCCTGGGCACCACATCGTGTCCATCGAGGTGGAGCGCGACGCCGCCGCCACCCTGTGCTCCTGACGGCCCCACCGTGGGACGGAGCCCTGAGTGTTGTGCACCTCTCATGTGCCCCAACGGGTGATGGATGCCTGCCATGCAAAATGACCGCCGGGACTGCGGTCCCCGCAGCCCCAGTAGAGCTCCCGTGGTGGTCACATGTCACCACGTGATGCCGTCATTCCAGTCCCCTGCAAAGCAGGACGCAGATGCCCCTTCCTCCCCCAAACACTCTGTTTTCAGCCTGAAACAGAGTTGTGCAGGTTAATGTTAATTTAATCTCGGGTGCAAAAGGTTTCAGTGGGCAAGAGGGAACACACAGCAGTCCTGGTCCCACCTAACTGCGATAAAATGCCGCGGCCAAGGGGGGTCAGGGAGGAACAGGAACAAGGAAGGGGGTGCGCAGAGGGTCTGGGGTGGCCACAGGGTTCAGCACCATGGTAGGGAGGGGTGGAAGGGGGCCGCTGATGGCACCATCCCCCGGGGTTGCGGTGACACTGAGACGCAGCCCCCGACAAGTGGTGCACCCAGGGACCTGCAGCGGGAGTCAGGAACCCCAGGGTCGCCCTCCCCCCACAACAAGGCAGCCCCCGCAGCACTTCATGTAAGGGTTAGAAAAAGATGCAGAAATGATCATTTACAAAATAAAGTTCCCCAAAATGCCCCTCCGGGATAGTTTCTGGTTGAAATCTGAGAAAGGTCTGTCAAAGCTCCCCCCGCCTCCAAGGTCCCTCTTAATGCTTTGTGGGTGAGGACGGGGGCAGAACGCACCCCAGAGCCTCCCTGTGTCGTGGGGGCATCAGGAACTTCTGCGATGAGTGGGAAGGGTTGAAGACCGATTTCTGTTAACAGCAGAAAGTCTGCGTGCTTATGAAGAGGTAAAGCTACTTATTTATCACTTTATTTCACGCTTCGTTCAAATATTTGACTGAATCCTGAGTTCTGGAGCAGGTCAAACTGGGCCAGCAGTAAGCAGACAAGTACGGAATATTTTCCAGCAGATCGTAACGTGTGAACCACGGGAACGGCTGTGACCTGCTGGTAGGAAGAGCACACCAGACTCCAGTCAGAACATGAGAATCCGGCTCTGTCCAAGTCCCAGATGGTTGGCCAGCAGCCAGAAGGACTGAGCGCATGTGCGCAGGGTGACGCTGCCGGTCTGTTGAGAGCAAACACGTGGCTGAAGAATCTGATGCTGATCTGGTGAAAAGACTGCTAACGTGAGCCCATGTTTAAAGACACAACCACAAACACAGGGTTGCCCCAGTGACCCCTGCCAGGGCCCACAGATTGCACCTGCCATGTTAAAGCATCTCAACAACAGTGTTGGGAAGTGGCTGCTCCACATTTTCCCGCTGTTTCCGGGGCTTGTCTGTGTTCCCTCTCTCTCCATTACTGTTTTCCATTAGTGGGTTTCCATACCCACCTGTTTGTAGGTTGTTTTCAGGTTTCAGTGTTACGCATTCCTATGAAAACCGGGGTTGCTGTTCTGTCCCTCGGGATGGAACATTCCTCTGTGTTGCAGTCTCTGGGATTTGTGCTTCAGCACAAAATGTGGAACGTGAGCAGCTCGGTTCCAGGAGTGTTCCAACACTGCGCAATGAGCGCTGCCTCCAAACACAAAGCAATTCCTACCATTCCAGAGACCGAGCACTTCAGAAGTTATGTAGGTACCTTGCATACAGTTGGGCACCAAACCAAAAGTGAATCTTGTGTGGATTTCACCAGCTGGGATGGGGAGATCCAAGAGCCTGGGCTGAGGGTGCGCAAGGAATAAGCTTGTAGGGAATGGGGGGAGGTGGGTGGCAGTAATTAAGTGTCAAGAAAGAGGGTGTTTGGAGATATCAGTAATATCGGTGGGGACTGAAGGCAAAGAATGTGAGGAGATGAAAATGAGGAAGTGAGAGCTCCTCCATTTCCAAAAGCCACATGTCAGAGTGTCTCCATCCCCACGGGAGGTGACCCGGGCACCTGGGCCCCACCTCGGAACCCCCGTTGCCTGGGCACCCAGGCAGGCCGTGCTGTGCTCTGGGACCATGGAGCGGCGGTGGCTGCCCCTCCTGCTGCTCCTGGTGCCCTGGCTTCCGGGGCTGCACCCCTGCCTGCTCTGCTTTGGGCCCCCCATTCAGTGGGCCCGGCTCTGCCGTGAGATGGCCAGGAGCTCTCAGGACTCCCAGCACCAGCACTGCCTGGAGGCCCTTGCAGAGGCTGCTGTGCCACTTGCCCCCGTCACTGTGGGTGGGTGGTGGGACCCCAGGGATGCCCACCCCAATGGGACCCTCTGCCCCCGTCCTGACTGGCACCCGAGGGGCCACCATCTCAATGGGACACTCAGACGAGCATTCTGGGGGCCCTCAAGCATGCCACGGTCTCCCCAGTCTTGAGGTGGACTCCCCCAGGCACCCCTCAGACCCATCTGGCACTCTCCCAACTCT